TACTTTTACAGAGGAGCATGACCATTCTTTGCAAATCTTCCATCAATCAGACCTACTCGATCAGTTTCTTCCCCATTAAACTGACTTAGTGACGTAAACAGTGTTTGATAGCAAATGCATAACTGTTGCATAACAATCAGTGGGTGGAGTTTAAACAATAATCAGTGGGCGGAGTTTAGACACTATTGCATAATAATTAGTAGGTGGAGTTTAAACTTGCATAATAATCATCAGTGGGTGGAGTTTAAACACTTACATAATCAGTTTTCAAGATCAAAGGCATTGATCTTCTGTGGAGGTAGGCTTTAGACACTTGCCTAATAATCAATGGGCGGGGTTAATCAGTGATGTAAAAGTGGAGAATTATCTTCTGTGGAGGTGGAGTTTAGATACTTGCATAATAATCAGTGGGTGGAGTTAATAATCTTCTGTGGAGGTTGTATTTAGATATTATTACATAACCAGCGGGTGGAGGTACACACTTGCATAATAATCAGTGGGTGGGGTTAATCTGTGATGTAGAAGTGGTGGAGGCGGAGTTTAGACACATGATAATTAGTGGGCGGCATTAATCAGTGATGTAGGCTTCAGCATAAGTTGTTTTTAGATTAATGAGAAAGTTTAACGTTTTGAAACGTCCCGGATGGTTTTATTACAGTACAGAGCCCGCGTGTATGTCAGAAGATCAAGGGAATGTTGATTTCTCAGTTCTCATGACCTCTTTAACTGAAATAACTCTGTGCTTCAGCAATCAGGAGCTCACCAGAAGAAAGAGAAACCGCAGATGTTGTGTGAATGACAGTAGTGTTATTTTCAGACGCTTCTCACCTGCGTCTCAAACTGAGCTCAGTATAATCTCACACTCATCCCCGGCTCTGGCTGACACCTTCTGACTCATCTGGCTCTCGTTTTCATTTCTGATCAGGCATTTCTTTGGACAAACATCTGTAGATGCTTAAAGGAGTCTGGAGTGAAAGTTTCCCAGAGATAGGAAACAGCACCTCTGAGTCCTGAAATATCCTGAACACAGCGCACAAAAACACACGCAATCAACAAGCGGCAGGCCTGACACCATGAGGAATGCTTGGTGTGCAGTATATTATCACAGAAGTTGTTCCAATAGTATTGTCATGGTCATTTTATGCCACTGATTATACAATGATTATATAACAGCCCAATAATGCAAATAATAACTATAAACACTTTCAAATATGGATCATTCTTAAGGTTATTTAGGCTCTATAATTTGCTGTTGAAAAGGTAAATGTCCTATTATATATACTCTATTAAATGTCCTATTATATATGCTCTATTAAATGTCCTATTATATATACTCTATTAAATGTCCTATTATATATGCTCTATTAAATGTCCTATTATATATACTCTATTAAATGTCCTATTATATATGCTCTATTAAATGTCCTATTATATATACTCTATTAAATGTCCTTTTATACATATATACTCTATTAAATGTCCTTTTATACATATATACTCTATTAAATGTCCTATTATATATGCTCTATTAAATGTCCTATTATATATACTCTATTAAATGTCCTTTTGGGGTAAATGCCCCATAATAAACATTGACAGCGGTGAGGTAGAATGTAAAGGTCATTGTAAAATGGCTTTAACTTTACTTGTGAGTTTGTAAATATACAAATGATTGAGGTCATCTCCAAATATTGCACAATAAGTTGATATATTGATTATTGCGACAGGCCTAAAACAAGTGTGCTTAAACTAATGTACTATAAATGCAGATTATATGCACAAATACACTATAAATGCTCATTTACCACAGTGCAGATATAATATTCTCGATTAATTAAGTGCATTGACTTATTTTTTATCAAGAAAAACACCAGGGGTCACCACAGCAGAATAAACCGCTATCCCAGCATATGTTTTACTTGACGGATGCCATTCCAGCTGCAACCCAGTACTGAGAAACACCCACAAACACTCATTCACACACACACACTCATACACTACGGCCAGTGTAGTTGATCAGTTCCCCTATAGCACATGTGTTTGGACTGTGGGGGAAACCAGAGCACCCGGCGGAAACCCACGCCAACACGGGGAGAACATGCAAACTCCACACAGAAACACCAACTGACCAAGCCGGGACTCAAACCAGTGACCTTCTTGCTGTGAGACTCTGAATGTCTAACCATTTGAATAAACAATGAGAGGTAGTGTGAGCACTTACTGAAATTATCTGTAAATGTTAAAACCACAATAAAAGAAGAGTTTCTTTCTCCTGTTGAACACAAAGGAGGATGTGCTGAGGAATGCTGGGAAAAACATGCACAGTAGTGTTTGGTTTCTGCTATGGAAGTCAGTGGCTGTTTTTCCAGCATTCTTCAGATTATCTTCCTTTGTGTTCAACAGAAGAAAGAAACTCAAACAGGTCTGAACAAGTGCAGGAAATGATGACACGATTGACATTTTTGGCTGTGCTGTCCCTTTAAATGTCAGGTCTGCATTACCATGTTTGCCCCTTGCCAATAAAATATAGCTGTGTCCCATATATACAGGTTAAATGATGACATCAAATGAATATGCGTGTGTTAAAAGCACTTAAACAGGGTGAACTTCACTAACACTTTATTCTGATGCTTCATTAGAGTATGAGTAGACTGTCTGCATAATATCTGCTGATGCTGCTGCTAAACAGACATTTACTGACTATATGATTCTTTGCAAGTACATGTCAACTTGCACTAACCCTAACCCAACAGTCTGCTGATAATGTTAAATGTTACTGATGTTGAAAAAATGAGTAGTAAAAATCAGCTTATAGCTATACTGTGTGCAAATAATTGATATCCATATTGGTGCATCCCTATTAGAAAATATACTCAGTATAGGAATATTCATTACAGAAATCATTAGCCAGGATGTGCTGCACGCTTGTTCACCACACCTGCACACATGAGAGAATACACTCTTTTCTCATGTCTGGGTTTCTCGGTAGTGTATGTAAACTCCGAGAGCAGTAGGAAGAGCATTTGCAGATTTCAAATAAAGGTTAGAAAGGCAAACTATTGTTAACTAATGACATGCACACTGTAGAGGATGACACAGGGGTGTGTGTGTGTGTATATATATATATATATATATATATACACAGTTGAAGTCAGAATTATTAGCCCCCCTGAATTATTCGGCCCATGTTTTTTTTCCCCGATTTCTCCAGCACATTTCTAATCATAATAGTGTTAATAACTCATCTCTAATAACCGATTTGTTTTCTCTTTGTCATGATGACAGCACATAATATTAGACTAGATATTCTTCAAGACACTAGTGTTCAGCTTACAGTGACATGTAAAGGCTTCACTAGGGTAATTAGGGTAAAGTTAGGGTAATTAGGCAAGTCATTGTATAACAGTGGTTTGTTCTGGAGACAATCCAACACTAATATTGCTGAAGGGGCGAATAATATTGACCTTAAAATGGCTTTAAACAATTACAAACTGCTTTGATTCTAGCCGAAATAAAAGAAATAAGACTTTCTCCAGAAGAACAAATATTATCAGACATTATCAGAAAATTTCCTTGCTCTGTTAAACATCATTTGGGAAATAATTAATCCAGAAAAAAAATTCAAAGAAGGGCAAATAATTCTGACTTCAACTGTGTGTGTATATATATATATGCAGTTATCACCATCACGGTTTACTCACTTGAACTTCATTAATATTCCTGACTTTTCCGATCAGTTCTGTTCATTTAATGGACCTGTCATTACTTCTGACTTACTGCAAATCATTTTTCTCCACATCAGATTTCAGCTGCCTCCAGCACTGATGGTTTCTGGGTAATGTAGTTCTTTTTTAATTGTGTTACATTGTAGGCGTATTAAAAGAAAACTACAAATGGCGGTTCAACTTTATTGTCATCTTCCTAATGGTTAATTTTCACTCCCGTCTGCTCCTATTGATATTTTATCCTGTACTGTCCCAATCCCGTGATTAATAGCAAAGATGTCTCCCATTCAGCGGGAATCCCAGAGGAATCCCGTGACTAGTGGGATTCCTGAAAATATGTCGTCCTCTAATGCACAGATGAATTGTTCACTACAGAACTAGCAACATTCATTCATTCATTCATTCATTTTCTTGTCGGCTTAGTCCCTTTATTAATCTGGGGTCGCCACAGCGGAATGAACCGCCAACTTATCCAGCACGTTTTTACGCAGCGCATGCCCTTCCAGAGGCAACTCATCTCTAGGAAAAGAACTAGCAGCATGAGCTGACATAATCAATATGGTTAGTTTAATTTCGTGTGGACTGTAGAGTGCTGTTTGAGTGTGAACGCTCTACTTCTGCTCTATTCTACGACATGTTGCAGTATAAATAGCGTACGTGTGGGATTTGGGAGCTTGATTATGAAGTGTGGGAATCTGTGTGTTTCTCGGTGTCTGACCTCTGACCTCCGGCCGGCTGATAGCAGGTTCCCATGCGAGTGATCATGTGTGGTTTTCCTGTGTGTGTTTTCCTGCAGGTGTTCACAGACATCAGACGCAGGAGATTTCGGGTTTCTACTCGCTGCCTCAGGGTCAGATCACGCCCTCCATGAACTGGTAAGAGTCCCAACATGTCGGAAACTCTGCTTTTACTGCGCCAGCTCCCCTTTAAACACACACACACACACTTCAGACGAATGTCTAAACACGGCCGTCACTTCCCCTTGTCTGAGTTTCTTTCTGTGGTAACACTTTAATTTAGGCTGACGTGATTACACATGCACTCGCTATTGTAGAGACAATTAATTATGCTTAATTACATGAAAGTAAACCGAACCCACATTCTGGCGTTCGCCATAGAGGACGTTCATGTGCAATATTACTCCGCTAATACTAATATCACACTGTAATTATCAGCTTATGGCTCGTTTCCACTAACTGGTACAGTACGGTACGGTTCGGGTCGGTACGGGTCACCTTTATCAGGCTTGCGCTTCCACCATAAAGGGTATCCTTTTTGGTGTGTGTGGTGTACGACAAAGTTTAAGTTGACGTCATGCTCGCTCGAATAAATGTCTACAGTAATGCCGTACGGGTCATTCACATATCATAATGAGCAGCACTTCTCACAAAACAGATGCTTTATACACATGAATACTTGTGTATAAATGTTTATTACTAACTTTTCTATGAACAGGAGTTGATTATAACTGCAGATCAATGACCACTGTAACCCACTGTAACGTCTGTAATTATATTAAATAAATAAATAAATGAACATATATGAACACATACAGACCCTTACAGTCTCCGATATATCATTAATTACAGAAAAACTATACGCATCATACATTTAGTACTTATTTGAGTTCAAAAACACACGCAATATAGCCCACGGTCAGCGCAAACCTCTCATCTGTGTGTGTAATCTTCAGCAGCACATGTAAACTCTGTTAGAGAGTCATGTTGTCATTGCCAGTTCATAATAGTCCAAAAGGCGAAGATAGTCATGGCAGTGTGTTCATGATTCAGGGTGTTAAACACTTTTGCTCCTGTGTTTTGCCAGGTTTCTCCTTTTTTTCCCGTGCTTTACTCTCGCGCTTGTCCTTTTCTTTCTGAATGGATCAGATGACGGAGACACTTCAACAATCACGTAACGTTACACGTTATTCTCATCAACTCAAGAAGTTTGTTATATCAAATATAGACGCGATCGCGCACTCCCGGAAGAAAGCGAATACCGCTCGCACTTTTAGACGGGCTCGTAAAGCAACAACAGCACACGGCAGATTTTGTTCTTCTTTGCATTGTGTCTGTTCATCAAGACGACGACACGGTTTGTTTGAGCTCGGGTCATCCATGGCTGGTTATTTTATGCATATAGTATATCCATGTAATCTCTCGGCTGTGTATTAGAACAAGGCGGATCCTTTGTTTACATTCTGTCTAGCTCCACGAGCTCGTGACGTGTCTCTGTAACCAATCAGCGTTCGGCTGGGCATGTAGCTCCACCTTTTCGTACACTTTCTCGTTTTTGGGACCCTTTCGAAAGCGTGCCGAAAAAGTGGTACGGTTTGGTTCGGTACGCTTATTGACAGTGGAAACGGCCATAAAAGCGTACCGAACCGTACCGTACCGTACCACTCAGTGGAAACGGGCCATTAGATTAAAGTGAAAACCTACTGAAGATTGCTGGGGAAACAGTATGTATGCAGGGTGGGCCATATGTATATGGATACAGCTTAGTAAAATGGGAATGGTTGGTGATATTAACGTCCTGTTTGTGGCACATTAGTATATGTGAGAGGGCAAACTTTTCAAGATGAGTGGTGACCATGGTGGCCATTTTGAAGTCGGCCATCTTGGATCCAACTTTAGTTTTTTTCAATAGGAAGAGGGTCATGTGACACATCAAACTTAATAGGAAGTTCACAAGAAAAGCAATGGTGTGCTTAGTTTTAATGTTACTTTATTCTTTTATGAGTTATTTACAAGTATACAGTCTGATACACAAACACACTAATTCTGGAGACTCTGAGCTCATCCTCCATGTTCAGTTGTGGCCTGTATTGATCTTTAGTGTACGTCAGTGCTGTAAAGGTGTCAGAAAGTTTATCCTGAAGCAGAAAATCCATCAGCTGTGTCTTCAGTATAATGTAAACACCCCAGGTGTCAAATCCCCAACAGCTTTTATCTGGATGTTGTGGGTGTTGTTTGTGGGACTCCCTAAGAGCTTTGACCAGTTCAAGCACTGCCTGAGCTCCACTATGGGAAGCACTGATCTAGGAGACGTAAATGTCAGCCGTGGTTTCAGTCTGGCGCACAGACAGTGGCGTCCTCGTGTGTTGTAAAAGCTCCTAACAGTGTCCCGACCCGCCCGCAGGCCCAATCAGCCTGTGTACCCCCTGCCCTCCTGCGGCTTCAGACAGCCCTTCTCCTCCGGCCTGCAGAGCGGCTCATCTTACCCCAGGTACAGTAGTGTGTTGGTCTGATGCAGCCGGCTTCAGCATCTGTGTGTGTGTCCGCAGCCGGCTTCAGCTTCAGCTCCACCAGACGCATCTGCGCCGCTCAAACCCACAGTTCACACACACACACACACACACTAAACACAAACAGACTGGATCATCCTGCGATGAGTGTTCAGCACAGTCACAGAAACTGTTCATTTAAGCTTTAATCAGTCCACAGGGTCAGGGCGACACCGATCAGTGTTACCTGTTTTTATATGTAGATCTCATCGCCTTGGAGTTATAAGGGTCTATCTGCGTTCTGAATGATTTTAAGACATGAGCTTCCAAGTTTTTGCAGTGTGTGTGTAAGAGTTCTCTTCTATACATAACTATGACAGAGACTCCACATCAGGGGTCACTAATCTCGGTCCTGGAGGTCCGGTGCTCTGCAGGGTTTAGCTCCAACTTACCTCAACACACCTGCCTGAGTGTTTCAAGTATCTCTAGTAAGAGCTTGATCAGCTGTTCAGGTGTGTTTGATTAGGGTTGGAGCTCAAATCTGCAGGACACCGGCCCTCCAGGAACAAGTTTGGTGACCCCTGCTCTACATGTACTTTAAATGTAGAGCAGGGGAGTCAAACTCAATTCCTGGAGGGCCGAAGCCCTGCACAGTTTAGCTCCAACCCTGCTCCAACACACTTACCTGTAGGTTTCAAACAAGTCTGAAGGACTCAATTAGTTTGATCAGGTGGGTTTAATTAGGGTTGGAACTCAACTGTGCAGAGCTGCGGCCCTCCAGGAACTGAGTTTGACACCTGTGATGTAGATGATCAAAATCCTCCTAAATTTCTAAATTGGGGTTAAAACACACAGGGTAAATGCAGACAGAAGCTTCTCATCCTCAAAGATCAATTTCTGCTTGGGATTATACAGTTCTGTCCAGCAGATCATGAAATGAAGCATTACTTTGTAAGAAATACAGTCAGGCTGCTCATTAATTGAATTAAAAAGAAAGATTGGTGTTGTACCAATATGCTGATGTTTGAGAAAGGACATTTAATTAATGTTTTAGGATGAATGTCTTGTTTAAATTAAGCATACAAGGCTGTGCTACATATTTTGTCCAGTGCAGATGTTAATTTGATGTATTTAATATGGTCATAATCATTGTTGTAATTAAGAAGCCATGAATTAAATTAATGATTTGCCTTCAAGGCTTAATGTCAAATTTAAAGACTTGAAAAGAAAACAAACTAAGAGCAAATGAGTTTAATAAACCCTGAGAATGTTTCTGTGACTATATATACACAAGGAACAGCATTTCATATTTAATAAACTATAGTTTTATAACAATGGAGCAGTCCGGTGAAATGACAAAAAGCTGATCCTGATTGGTCCTCGTGTGCATTCAAAATGCTGAAAGAACCTTATAGAGCCAAGCTGAGCTCCACTTTGTAGATAAACCCTTATTGTTTATTAAATAAAACGTCTTAATGTAAACAACTTATAAAAAACATCCCATAATGTAAATAAGTCTTTAAATCATAAGAAAATTAAATGTCAGATAGAACCTTATAATTCTAAGGTGGTGATATATATATATATATATATATATTTGTTTCCTTCATCTCAGGGGCATGAAACTCCAACTTTTCCAAAAATATCTAACACAAATAACACAAAAGAATATAAAATAATAAAAATATAAAATATAATTATTTTTAATGATTATATTGGTATAATTTTTATTATAATTTTTATTATTTGTATTTTTATTATTAAAATATAATAACACAAATAACTGGAGTTGGTTTGGTTGTTATAAATGTCTGTAAAGAAAATCACTGTTTAGTTTCCTTGGGGTCACTGATAATATTCACCTCTTTATTTTAGATTCATTTGTGTAAAAGACATTTAAACCCATCATGAGTCTGAAATGTTTTACATTTCTGTAAAGGCCTGGGCGCAGAGCACAAATAAAACAAAGGGAACACACGCACACACACACACGCACACACATACACACACATACACACACAAACACACACACGCACACACACGCACACACACACGACTGCAACAGAGATCATATATATATATATATAAATTGGCAAAAATAATCTACAAAACTCTGAAAAAATTCATAAATAAATGAAGGACAAACACTAAAGCACAAAATCAACTTGAACACACACACACACACACACACACACACACACACATGCACGTGTCGCTGTCTACGGCTTTTTTATTTTGGCACACTGAAACATTTTACAAAAGAAAACAATCAAAAATATCTCAGACGACAACAGCAAGTGACAGAATACAGCATGATGGTGCGTTCTGGACTGTTAAAATACATCTGTTGATTATAAATATCAGTTTGTGAGGAAGTTTTCTAAAGCATCAAGAAATATGAGCTGAAGATGAACCAGTGTCTTCAATTTAGGGCAGGATCTGAAATTAAAGTTTTCATAAGTCAAATGATGGCGTAGTTGTGTGTTTGTGTTGTAAATGGATAAAAAACAGTACACAATAACCAACAAACACTGCGTAAATAAAGATGAACAGTGATTAAAAACAATCATATAAAGCTGACGTTTCCCTGTGTAACGGGTCTGTGAATGAGTGGAGTCAGGAGGACCTCAAGGAACCCAACTGTGATTGATTTATTTATTTATTTATTTATTCATTTATTATATTATTTATGTATTTTCCTGAGCTGTTCCGGGGTTAAAAGAGAGATGTGAGAGGGGTGAGCTCGTCTTCACCCTCTCTACATTATTTTTCATATTTTATTGATCATATTTTTATTGATTTTTCTGAATGTATTCACTGTTGTTTTTGTCTCTGTGGCTGAATATAACAAATCAAAAGTAGCTGAGAGGAGGAACTCTTCCACATGTCTGGCCTCAGCTGGAGTTCACAGATTTACTCATTATTATATTAGTGATCTGAAGAGCTGCTCTGTTTCAGTAATGCTGGATGTAAAGCAGCGGCTGGAACCGGGGATCACACATCCACAAATGCTTTCTGCTTTGCTGCATTTATATGTCTGCATTTAGCCGACGCTGAGGATGATGAGGATGAAGATGATGATGATGATGGCAGTCAGTGGATATCAGTCGCTTTATTGAAGAGTTTTTCCTTTGGGAGTCGAACCCAAAACCTTGTTGTTGCCAGCACTGTACTTTAGTGCGAGTGAGTGTGTGTTTGCATGTGTGTGTGAGTGTGTTTGTGAGTTAATAAGTATATGTGTGTGTGTGTGTGTGTGTGTGCGCGCGCCCTTACTCCACTGGAGCTTCAGTGTGTGTGTGAGTCTCAGATCCGTCAGTTTTTCTTCTCTCTGCTTTTGTCATGTTCATGATCAAATCCTTCCTCTGGAGCCCAAAACCCGAATCACAAGAACAAACACACTAATGCTCTTACAGCAGGAACACACGCAGGCTGTGTGAGTGTGTGTGTGTGTGCGTGTGTGTGTGATGTTTCTGTCAGATGTCAGCAGCCCGGGCACATCTTTGTTCAATTGGCCCCGTGTGGAGGGCTCAGATCCGGAGTGTGTGTGTGTGTGTGTGTGTGTGTGTGTCTCAGCTCCAGATGATCTGTCTGACTGGTGGAGTGTGTGTTGAGTAGAAAAGGCTTGCAGCGCCATCTGCTGGACACACACACACACACACACACACACACACACAGTTAAAAAGCACAGTTCGCCTATAAATGTCAGTTCTGTCCTCATTTCCTCCACTTGTTTCAAACCTGTCTGAGTTTCTTTCTTCTGCTGAACACAAAGAAGATATTTTGAAGAATGCTGGAAACCTGTAGTGTTTCCTGCTATGGAAGTCTGTGGTTAGAGGCTTTCATCTTCCTAATATCTTCTTTAGTGATCAGCAAAAGAACGAAACTCGTGAATGTTTGGAAACACTTGAGGGAGATTAGACACTGAGCAGATGCTGATGTGTGGGTGAACTGACCCTTTCATGGAGATGCAAACAGCAGCTTTCTGTCAGCGCAGTGTCTTCACCGTGCCTTCGCATTGACGTCTTTAAAATTTGACATGTAACTCTGTGTTTATGTTTGTGTGTGTGTGTGTGTGTGTGTCTGCGCGCGCCTGCAGGTTCTCTCACTCTCTGATGCTGCAGTCCGGTATGCACCCCACAGGAATCCCTCACCCCGCTATAGTGCCCCCTTCAGGAAAGCAGGAGCACGATCAGTTCGACAGGAGCATTTATAAGTAAGTCTCTGAAGTAACACACACACACACACACACACATATAATGAATTTCTTAGCCTAATTACGTTTGTAAATGTGTTGGCGTGCCCAGAGCCCAGACCTGAACCTGCATGAAACCCCTTCAGCTAAAGCCTAGTTCACACTACAGGATTTTAAACCTCAGCAGATCGCTGTGCCGTTCACACTACATGACTTGACTTTGTGTCTTTTAATCTCTGTGGTGTTCACACTACGCAACACAGGGGGTCACACACTACATGATCTGACAACAACTAAACAAATCAAGCTACCAAACCACAGCCAATGAAATTTTGAGGGAGGAGTCGTCAGAAAAAGCTGAACACTATTGGCTGCTTGTGCTGATGACATCACTGACAGCGTTTCAAGCTTTGGAGAAAACATTTAAAAACATCGTCAAATCAGCGGATTCATCACTCATCTGCAAGGTTCCAGTGGATAGATACACAGAGAGTTTTTAATTTTTGTAATTTTATAACTCTTTGAAATAAAACTAACATATTTATAACACCCTTGGTCATCAATCTGGCAACCTGCACCAGGAGTGCAATACCTAGTTCAACCACTGGGTGTCAAACTTGCACACTGCACACCTTTACACACCTTTAAGTGCCGCTACAACATTTCACCCTCACAAATTGTTTGTTATTTTCCTCAAAACTCTGAGAATAAAGCTGTAACCACGTGCGAAGCGTGAATACTTTCTGCATCCGCTGCGCATTTGGGTGTCAGGTGTGTGAAACTCTTGGAAATCCTTTAGCTGGAAAAACAAGATCACTTTAAATAAAGACACAGGCTACTTTAAAACCAGTGTGTCAGGAATGAACGAGAAGACAACACCTGAGCTGCTTTTACTGTGTTTTACCACGGTGTAGTGACGCGTGTGTGTGATTCTCTGTCCTCCAGCAAGTCTCATGCGGAGGCCAAGCGGGAGAAGGAGCCCAAGAAGCCGGTGATCAAGAAGCCTCTGAATGCGTTCATGCTGTACATGAAGGAGATGCGCGCTAAAGTGATCGCAGAGTGCACACTGAAGGAGAGCGCCGCCATCAACCAGATCCTGGGCCGCCGGGTGAGTCTCTGTGTGTGTGTGTGTGTGTGTGTGAGTGCCTGAGTGTGCGTCTGAGTCTGTGAATCTGAGTGTGAGTGTGTGTGTGAGTCTGTGTGTTACAGTAGCACAATCTGACCTGTGTGTGTGTGTGTGTGTGTGTGTGTGTGTGTGTGTGTGTGTGTGTGTTACAGTGGCACGCTCTGACCCGTGAGGAACAGGCCAAGTACTATGAGCTGGCCCGTAAGGAGCGGCAGCTGCACATGCAGCTCTACCCCAGCTGGTCGGCCCGTGACAACTACGTGAGTGCTTTGGTAATGAATACACAAATATACGGCACTGCTGATGTGTTTGATATTAGCCATATGTGATAGATCTGTCCTGTGAGCGCAGCAGATCACCTGTAATCACACCAAGCTCCAAGACAAACAGACAATCAATCAAACAATCCATTCTTCATGTGTTCTTTCTTCTAAACCTGCTCATGAAGCTGCAGAGCCAAACTATACAGAGGAACACAGAGAAGTCTGACGCTGAGAGTGAGGGCGGGGCTCAGATCACTGCTATGGGTGATGTCAGCATGCTCATTAACTATGCACACAGTGATTGGCTGATAGGAGTGGGCGGGGTCAGATGTATTCATGTATATATTGTAGAGCAGGACATTATGCTGCCTTCATTATTCCAGTAAAGATGTTAAATGTACACTGAGACTGAGGCAGGCTAAAAAGGATGTTTTGCTTTGAATGTTTCAGACGTTAAATAATCATTTGAATAAATTGTTATATAGTATTTTCCTTTTTTTGTAATATAAATCTTATTTAAATGCAGAAGTCTTGAAATAACTCAGGGTTTTTACCAGTGAGTCTTTCAATGTAAAGGGTTAATCCTAGTGCTCAGATTAATCACCGTTAATCACGTTCACACGGAAAGTTTATTTTCACTAATACATGTGTGTGTGTGTGTGTGTGTGTGTGTGTGTGTGTGTGTGTGTACAGAGAGATTTCTTTCAACACATTTCTGTGCATATACCTTTAATATCTCATCTCTACACTGCAATAAATGCTTTTTTTACGTAGATTTTTTGTCTTGTTTCTAGTCCAAATATCCAAAAATTCCTAAATCAAGAAGGATTTTCCAGACAAGCAAAACATTTTCTTGTTTTGAGAAATAATATGCCAATAATAAGTGAGTTTTCCCTTAAAACAAGCTAAATAATCTGCCAATGGGGTCAGCAAAATAATCTTATGTCAAAAGAAAAAACAATATTATTTTGCTGACCCCATTGGCAGATTATTTTGGTTACGGATTTGTACTGTAGCATTTTTACAGTTTTTTACGTTGAAATCACGGCCATTTTTTACAGTGTAGAGCCTTGAGCTTATAAGATCCTCGAGCCCTGGGCTCCCTCCCGTTGCTAGGTGAGAGGGGAGTTTTAGCTCAGGTAGATCTCGATGACTCCCCCTCCTGCTTACTGTAGCTAAGTGTCAGATATAGATGCTGAGAAGGTGTACTCAGAGCTGGCTAAAATATTTCAGATTAATTGTTAGGGTGCTTGTTGTTGAACTGTTGGAGGAAACCGGAGGACCCGGGGAAAAAGACGGAGATCTTCAAGACGGAGATATTGAGTCTGGTTATTCATAGTGAGTTAAGGATCATCTGATAGGATAATTAGTCATGAGCTAAAGTTGGAACAGCTGTGAACAATCATAAGCAGGTGATCCTCCCGACATTTGTTTACAATTAAACTTCACTTAAAGGCTTCACTAGGGTAATCAGGGTAAAGTTAGGGTAATTAGGCAAGTCATTGTATAACAGTGGTTTGTTCTGGAGACAGTCTGAAAAAATATAGCTTAAAAGGACTAATAATATTGTCTTTAAAATGAAGATTAAACAATTAAAAACTGATTTTATTCTAGCCGAAATAAAACAAACCAGACTTTCTCCAGAAGAATAAATATGATCAGACACACTGTGAACATTTCCTCAATCTGTTCAACATCATCTGGGAAACATTTAAACAAGAAAAATAAATTCAAAGGGGACGAATAATCCTGACTTCAACTGTATTTATGCATGTGTGTGCTTATATATAGATACTAAATACACACACACACACACACACACACACACACACACACACACACACACACACACACACACACACACACACACACACACACTTAAATTGTGCCCAAACAAGTTGTTTATAGATTAATGTTGGCCAGCACTGATAATTGATTATGATAGTAAGACATTATTGTGGGCTCATCATCAGTCAGAGTAGCTGAATAGTGAATAATCGTTTGTTTACACATTTAAAGAGAGCGTTCTTAGAATGTTCAGGCTGTATCTGCCGTGTTCAGAACAGCTCTGAATGCTGGAGCTCTTGATTGTAATCTTGAGCCCAGCACTAGTGAACTGATGACGAGCGAGCGCTGATGCTGGAGTGTGTGCTGTCGTGTGTGTGTGTGTGTGTGTGTGTGTGTTCACGGTGGAGGATGTGTGTTTCTCTTCATCGCTTGTTTTGCTTCAGTAAAGGCAGAAGGTGAAGAGTTTCCTGTAGAGATATAAATACACTCACAGACTGACAGCTGACACACACACACACACACACACACATGCTGACAGGAAACAGCCCACAGACGTGTGTGTTGTTATGTGTGGGTCGCATAATATCACTCACATGTACATCTACTGACACACACATAATCACACACACACATTGACGTGTACACAGTCACACACGCACACACACACACACACATGTACTTGCATATATCATGAAACACATAAGCAAATGCACACACGCATAATCACATACACACACACACACACACATATCAATGCACACAGTTACTACTGACACACACAAATAATCTAACTCACACAATGATGCATACACACATATATCCTGGCGCACACACACAATTACACTCACACCCACATTGATACACCCACATATAGTTGCACACAGCTACACACACACACACACACACATACTGATACACACACAAAAATATTTATTGGTATTGCTGTACTTGTGGGGACATTTGGTTCCACCATTGTTAGGAATACACGGTACACACACAAACGCACACACACACAACAATACAAACATATACTGGCAAACATACACACTCTGACACACACACACAATTCTGACATGCGCGCACACACACACACACACACACAACCTTTGGTTTTCTGTGAATTGTGGGGAGTTTCTATAAACTTCTATTGTGTGTGTGTGTGTGTGTGTGTGTGTGTGTGTGTGTGTGTGTGTGTGTGTGTGTGTGTGTATTCATCCTGTCTCTGATCTCTCTTTACCACAGGGCAAAAAGAAGCGGAGGAAACGGGACAAGCAGCAGGACTCCAGTACAGGTGTGTGTGTGTGTGTGTGTGTGTGTGTGTGTGTGTGTGTGTGTCTGTATGTGTGTGTGCATGCTTCTGTGCAGTTTGTGTCTGTGTTTATCTGCTGTGTGTGTACGCGTGGACCTCTGTGACTGCTTGTGTGTTTCTCTAATGTGTGTGTGTGTATGTATGTGTGTGAGCTTGTATACTTCTGTGTATTGTGTGTGTGTATGTGTGTGTGTGTGTTTCTGTCTGTACGTGTGTGTGTGTGCATGCTTCTGTGCAGTTTGTGTCTGTGTTTATCTGCTGTGTGTGTATGCGTGGACCTCTGTGTCTGCATGTGTTTCTCTAATGTGTGAGAGTGTGTGTGTGCACTTCTGTGTTGTGTGTGTGTGTCAGTCTGTGGTCTCTCTCTCTGTGTGTGTGTGTCTGTCCTTCACCTCTGCTCTTCTTCTGCTCTTCTTCTTCTGCATGCTGCTTGCGCTCAGAGCCTGGCTCTCCAAAGAAATGCCGCGCTCGCTTCGGCCTGAACCAACAGACGGACTGGTGCGGCCCCTGCAGGTGTGTAGACTAACAGCAATGCTCACACTCCCCTGTGTGTGTGTGTATGTGTGTGTGTGTGTGTGTGTGTGTGTGTGTGTGTGTGCGTGCGTGCGTGCGTGCGTGCGTGCGTGCGTGCGTGCGTGCGTGCGTGCGTGCGTGCGTGCGTGCGTGCGTGTGTGTGTGTGCGTGTGTGCGGGTGTGTGTGTGTGTGTGTGTTAGTGACACTAGTGGCTCCAGCTGGGTTCTCTCTGTGGGGTTCAGATACTCAGGGCTGTGTGCTTTACTAACACTTTTGAATGCTCTGCTGTGTGTGTGTGTGTGTGTGTGTGTGTGTGTGTGTGTGTGTGTGTGTGTGTGTGTGTGTGTGTGTGTGTGTGTGTGTGTGTGTGTGTGTGTGTGTGTGTGTGCGCATGAGGATAAACACCGCTTGATCTTGACGTCAGGATGATCTGCTCTTCCATTAGTGTTTATTACTCTTCATCTGTAGTGTCAGCGCTCCTCTGTAATGCAGCAGCTCTGGAAACGCCACACTGTACACGTGTGTTCCTCTCCTCATGCTTACTGCACACGCCAGATTGGACACTGTTAATCTCAAGTTGCAGTGATGTACACTGATCTGATTTCACCATGTTTTTAGATCACACACACACACACACACACACTAAACTTTACAGGTTTATTAGTATCTAGAGCAGGGGTCACCAATCTCGTTCCTGGAGGTCCGGTGCCCTGCAGGGTTTAGCTCCAACTTGCCTCAACACACCTGCCTGAGTGTTTGAAGTGCACCTCAGAGCTTGATCAGCTGTTCAGGTGTGTTTGATTAGGGTTGGAGCTCAAATCTGCAGGACCTCCAGGAACGGGTTTGGTGATCCCTGCTCTACAGTATATTCTGCTTGTATTGCTATCTTTATTTCTATAATCTGTATTTTGAGCACGTCTCCAGGTTTAGTGAATATCTGTAATGTGATAAGAGTTTTATTCTCGTCTATAACATGAAGACTACACCATCACACACACCTCACCATGTTATTCACATTAATACCGCAGTCACACACTGACAACTCCTCTCGCACCCTTTACTCTGTGTCTGGTTTACAGAAACTCCACTGCTTCACATTAGAGTGTGTAATGCTGCCGAGCCCAATGTGAAAACTCTCATCATTTACTTCAATCCGTCGAGTTTCTCTCTTCTGTTGAACACGAAAGAAAGCTGAAAACTTCATTCTCCTTCAGCAGAGTCTCTTTATTTATCAGGGGTCGCCACAGTGGAATGAACCGCCAACTATTCCAGCAAGTGTTTTAAACGGCAGATGCCCTTCCAGCTGCAACCCAGTACTGGAAAACACCTATACACACTCATTCACACACACACACACACACACACACTACAGCCAGTTTAGTTGATCAGTTCCCCTACAGCGCATGTGTTTGGACTGTAACCGGAGCACCCAGAGGAAACCCACGCCAACACGGGGAGAACATGCAAACTCCACACAGAAACACCAACTGACCCACCCGAGACTCGAACCAGCGACCTTCTTGCTGTGAGGCCACAGTGCTAACCACTGAGCCACAAAACTTGTAACCATTAATAACTTCCATAGTACGTTTTCCTGCTATTGTTATCCGACTACAGGTTTTCAGCATTCTTCAAAGTATCCTCCTGTAGTGTTCAACAGAAGAACTCAGAGTCGTGTAAGTCACTGGAGGGAGTCTTGAAGGCTTTAAAGTGTGTAAGCGAGCGGTTCACACTCCAGAAGCCATGCGCTGTGAATACTGTCTGTTTTTGTGTGCTGGTTTTGATTTTGTCATTGTTGTGAGTTCATCTTTGTGACGTTTCGCATCCACGCTTTATTCACAGATAACTCTCTTGACTGTTCCTAGGAGGAAAAAGAAGTGCATTCGCTACCTCCAGAGAGGGCGCTGCTCCAGCCCACATTCTTCCGATGGAAGTGCTATAGACTCCCCCCCTTCACCTGTCTATCACCTGACAAACCCCACCTCCCCCTCACGATGCCTAGCCTCCAGCCCCTCCTCCCCCGCCGGCAGTCCCCACCCACATGGCAAACGCCCCGCCCCTCCGGCCAGACTCTTGCTGGACTTCAGCAGAATTAAATCGGAGAGTGCGATTCGTCCACAGTGAGACTCCACCCCCTCCTCAAGCCCCACCTCCTTACACCAGCGTCCCACGGAGCGTCCTCTCGCCCTTTCGGAAGTCGCGGCATTTCATGTACACACAGCTGAATCTCACGAAGAGCGCTCCGACTCTGTCCATTTCATTTCAGTGAAGCTGCAGGTCTGGAAAGTGTTTCTGATCTGATGTGGTTTTCCTTGCTGATGATGAGAGCTCTCCAAATTATTTAGATTCCCATTAGAGAGTCAACAGTACATCCAAAAATAGTGGACGCTTGTGCAAATGAAGAAATAAATGAGTAATGGTGTACTGCAATGAAGATCACAACAACTCAGAGTGTCTGACCTGCAGTAGAGGAATCAAGATTCATTTCAGGAACACTTTACTTGATGAGGTGTTCATAACGCCCTGTTCACACGGGGCTTCAGCGTCAACGCTTGACTGAAGGCGTGTCTGAAGTTGGGGCTGAAGCGATCGTCATAGCAGCGTCAGCCAATGAAATTCAGTCCCCAATAGGCCACTGTCTGAGCTGGTGTATTTGCATTCAGCGATCTGATTGGCTGACGCTTCCGTCAGCGCTTGAAAAGTTGAGCTAGTCCCTACTTCTGCAGCGAGCAACACCTCTGAAGCGGCGCCGACAGATCCACAATGCAGTTCGGCAACGCCTGACGTCGTGAATGGGAAGCGTTGACGCTGACGCCCCGTGTGAATGGGCCGTAAGACTGTTATGACACATGATATGAATGCTTTATGCATGTTTCAGACAGCTGTCATTAGGTGCCATGAGCTCATTTGAAGTGAAGTTTGTTTATAAGCTCATGTTGAGAGGATCACATGCTCATGATTGATCACAGCCGGTCCTGCATTATTCAAATTCATGATTGACCAATCAGATGATTCCTAAAATACTATAAATACCCTCAGCTCCAGATCACAGCCGTCTTCATTTTGAAGAATCCCCCCTTCCACCTCTACTCCTCCTCTCCTAGATGGGTGGCACGGTGGCCCAGTGGTTATCACTATTGCCTCACAGCAAAAACATCACTGGTTCTAGTTCTTACCAAGCCAGCTGATGTTTCTGTGTGGAGTTTACACGTTCTCCCCATGCTCACGTGGGTTTCCCCCGGGTTCCCCGGTTTCCTCCCACCGTCCAAAAACATGCAGCTGAAGTTAATTGACTAATCCACATCAGCACCATAGACATGCTGCTAGTCAGTGGTTATCTCTTAATAGCGATCACTATCTGTTCATAGCTACTACAGCAGGGGAGTTCTCCACATCTACCTGAGCTCAAACTCCCCTACCCCTGCAAACAGGAGGGAACCATAGGCTTGAGGATTTAATGAGCTCAGGGTTCTCTCCCGGAGCATGCCAAAGCTTTATAATCAATCATCAGCTGAGGGTGAACTCTTGAAATGCAAAGATGACATTGTTTGATGTCTTGGTTATTATTAAGTTGTCATAAAGACAACACAACCTGTCATAAATCTGTCATAAACATGACCGTCATGGGGCCAATATAATTGTCATGGATCTATTTCTGCTCACTTTTTTCAGTGCAGCAAAATTAATTTCAGGTTCGTCCCAGTGTAGTTTAAGTCAAGAAAAGTGTTAATGATGTGTGTAAAATCCTACAATTATAATGTAGATTTGTCTTTGTCAAGTTGTCTTGAAGACATTACAAACAAAGCCATCTTTACATTTAAAGAGACAGAACTGAGCTAATGACACTCAATGACAGCTGTCGTAAGCATGCATTACAGCTCCATATCCCTGCTGTTTATAAGCGTGCACAAAGAAACCCTTTGCTGTAGTTTCCCTTTCTCTGATTCAGTGTGTGTGTGTGTGTTTTTGTGAGATTCAGCCAGTGTGTGTGTGTGTCATGCTGAAGAAGATAATCATTCATTCCAGTGCCATTTTCCCACGTCACGGAAGTGTCAGTTCTCATCATAACTCTTGTACAATCAAATGTGTTGTAAACTTTGTCTTTTATAGATATGAAAGTTCATTAATAACTTCACTTTTATATGTTTTTATGTACAAAAAGAGAAAAAAACAAACAAAAAAAATCATTCCTTTTCATACAAGTGCCATTTACTAGTGTTGTGTAGGTCTGCAGTAGTCTGCTCCAGCCAAACGTGCTCGTCCTGATGCTCTCAAACCAAGTGTGTGTGTGTTTGTTTCTCATATGCAGTGTGTGTTCAGTGTTTGCTCAGGTCTGTTCAACATCACCGCACACACACACACACACACCACTCTGTCTTTTGCTTTTGATGTAACTACTCATTCTCTAGATTTATTATTAAACTATTCTGAAAGATCTTGCTGGAGGAGCTGCTGAGTGTTCCTGTGGTTCTCCTGCTTTCCTTAAATCGGTCAGCTCTTCTGCATCCGCACATTCATAACTGGGTTGCCAGATTGAGGTCAAAATGCTTTGAGAATTGAATATTTCATCAATTGTTTGAGGTCTTTCTACAAGATCTGGCAACTTTACCAACATGGACAAAGGGTGATTTTCCATCAGAGTGTGCCACGCTCATGACAGGAGTTTCCTGAGAGGAATAAAACAGGAGACGCTGGTAAATACAGGAGACTCCCAGTATAAAGTGTAGCGCTGACAGCAGGTGTGGTTAAAGTGTCCCTCCTCTGCTTTTCACATCATATTTACAGTTTTTTCCAATTGCTTACATTTTCTGTAAGCAGGTCTCATATTGTCAGAACTCTACACACAAATCACAAAACACACACACATTCTTCTCAAAATGGTCTTTTGTTTTCAAATGACACACACAAGCCTTCACATCAGTAGACATTCATAAGATCAGTTGAACACTGATGTGCTCAATGTAAAGCACTATGAACTTATCTTCTCCATTCCTCAATATGACTTTCTGTAAGCCTTTTTTTGTTCAGTGTTACATTTTACTACAGACAGTAGCCCTACAGAAGTGCACTGTAAAATATTTCAGAGTATTGTTTTTATACAAAACAAACAAATACCAAATATATTGTACTGTATTTCCCCCACAACGTGTACACAGTGTTCATCCTAACCAACACAAAGTTGCAGATACCATACCATCAACAGAAGTATTTGCTGAATACAGTCACAGTAAAAAAACAGCTGTACTGCATCCTCTTTTCTGTTTTGGTCTGGCCAAGCAGTGGGGGAAATGTCACTGCATGGCGAATCCAGCCGCGAAAGGCATCAACTGCTATAGCTTGGAGAACATGTATACGTGTGTGTGGATTTCAGTCATACACTTTCCATCTCCTAACCCTAACCCAGGCAGAGAATTGTGTTTTGAAAAAAAGTGTGTTTTAAACCTGCAATTTGAGTGTAGAGCAGGAACTGTGCTTGTAGTTTAGCAGAATTGATTCAGGGGGTTGGTGAATGTTGTAGTCATTGTGTCTGAAGAACAAGTAATTGTGTGTAAATAATTGGAAAAAACTGTAATATAGATCAGTGTTTTACCTAGTGTGTGCTGCCCCTGGTGGTAGTACAGGGGTCATCGGTTATTCGAGTCGCCATAAAACGAAAGTTGAGATTTTTTAATTTTCTGAACTGTGGAGTCTGTTTGGTGTCGTTTCTGCAAATCAGCTTTAACATCACCTTCAGCAGACGAGCACTCACATACTGTATAACACCACTGATACTCTGGTCGGGTCTGCTGTGATTGGTCAGATTGTCAAGTCTGCTGTGATTGGTCAGATTGTCAAGTCTGCTGTGATTGGTCAGATTGTTCAGTCTGCTGTGATTGGTCAGATTGTTCAGTCTGCTGTGATTGGTCAGATTGTTCAGTCTGCTGTGATTGGTCAGATTGTTCAGTCTGCTGTGATTGGCCCAGTTTAAATTTCAGCTCTTTGTCTCAGCAGATGTAAACAGTAATCTGTCCAACCAATCAAAATTATAGCAGACTGAACAATCTGTCCAATCACAGCAGACTAAACTGTCTAACCAATCACAGCAGACTAAGCCCTCTGACCAATCACAGCAAACTGTCTAACACAGACATGTCCAGACTCAGTCCTGGAGGGCCGGTGTGCTGCAAAGTTTAGTTCCTACCCCAATCAGACACACCTGGACTATAATCAAGCTCTTACTAGGCTTTCTAGAAACATCCTTACAGGTGTGTTGAGGGAAGTTGGAGTTAAAATCTGCAAGACACCGGCCCTCCAGGACTGAGTTTTGACACCCCTGGTCTACCCAATCACTATCACAGCAGACTGAGCCCTCTGACCAATCACAGCAGACTGAGCCTTGTAGTCTGTCTGACAGCAGACTAGTCAATTTGACTATCCAATCGCAGGCTGTGTAGTCTGACCATTCCCAGACGGCGGAACTGTGACCAATGATTGAAGACTTGTAGAGAAATAAAACTTAAAGACGAGTCAGAAAACCGAGAGCTGTTCCAAACACACGATGACCGCTGTATGCATGAACACCTGTTGCAGGAACTCCGTCACCAGCAGGAGAGGGGCACTTTAATGAGACGCACAGGAAGAGGGAGGAGATGACGACATTATAGGTGAACTGAGCCTTTAACCAGAGACAAACTTACAGATCCTCTAACAAACACAACAGCATACACACACACACGCACGCACGCACGCACACACACGCACACACACACACGCGCACACACACACACACGCACACACACACACACACACGCACACGCACACACAGCACAGAGATGACGAATCCCACAATAATCAGCTTTTATTCAGTTTTGGAATTAAAATATGTATAATCCTAAGAGCAGAAGTGTGGAGGAGCGTCCTATACAGAGAGAACCAAGGAGGAGATACACACTCACACACACACACACTTCTGTTCACAACACAGGATGCAGACAGCGCCACCTTCAGCACACATCAGCCTCAAACTAAACTAAACAAAAGAATCTGTCTTCAGCTGAACGGCTCCATCCTCAAGAGGAAAAGAAACGATAGTAATAATGATGATCCTCCTTCAGCTCCAGCAGGGAAACGGGAGCGCTTCTCTACGAGGGCGACATTATATTAAGAGGAAGTGTAAAGAAAACAGCGTTTACAGCACACGAGCGAGGGGAATGGTCATGCTAGCAGAACACAGGGGGGATTTGACTATGTTTATTGTGTTAGACGGGAAGAAGGAATATGAAGAAAGCAGTGCAACGTTCTCTCAACTTTCTCAAAACAATCCGTAGTGTTAAGTGCGTCGGGATCTTCACTTCTCTTCACACCACTGGTTCTCCTTGCGTACCTGCAATAAACACAGCACTGTGGTCAATCTGAACACACACACACACACACACACAGACAGGAAATGAGCGCTCGGTTTACCTGCGCTTCCTCTTCCTCTGTGAAATCATTTTTGATATTGAAAGTCTTTCTGATCTCCTCGGGGGTTTTGCCTTTGATCATGTTCGCAACCGTCTTGCAAGTAACATCTAGCAAACCTTTGATGTCCAAGTAATTTGCAGCCTAAACAAAGGGAAGGGAGATGAAAGTGAGCGTGATCACACCATTACACACACACACACGTCTGATAATCAAGCGTCGCGGCTGCCGTCTCTCAGACCGGAAAGAGACTCCATTCACAACTCATTCTAACAGAGCTCAAAGCAGGAGAGGACCTGATTGAAACGCATCAAACGGCTGGTGTGCTGAATGATGTCTATGGTAATACCTGAAGTGTTTTAATGACAGAGCACATTCAAAATGAAAACACTCAGCATGTCCTGCGTGTGTTTGCAGAGTCTCCAGATTCACAGCACACATGATCTGAGCATTGCAGCATCTGCGGAGCAGCAGGAGAGCCAGATCTGCTCATGTTCAGCTTATTTTACTGAGAGAGAAACACAGAAGCTGACAGGGAGGGGCATCAATGCTCATTAACTATGCACACAGTGATTGGCTGATGGGGAGTGGGAGGAGCCCTTGATAGATTTGCTGTCCCACTCGAATAAATGCAGACTGAGAGATGAACTGCATCCTCAGAGAGTTTGCTCATTGCTTTTAAAGTTATAGATATTTAATACAGATTTTTCTATCAGTGTTACACAAATAATTAAGCAAATACTTTTTTTTTTTTTAAATATAGAGAAAAAAAATAGCCAAATTTGAATTAAACTATGTTTGTAAAACAGATGTTCCTTTGTGTCTGTTTATACCAGAGATGCTCAAACTAGGGTCCGTGGGCCAAAGTTGGCCCATGGTAACCTTTGATTTGGCCCACCATCACATCTGAGAAGAGAGGGAGAATGATGGGGAGGAAGAGATTCTCATTTCAATTGTCATATAATCTTTTAGGGCGAAGGTAGGTAGTGCTGTCGCCTCACAGCAAGAAGGTCGCTGGTTCGAGCCTCGGCTCAGTTGGTGTTTCTGTGTGGAGTTTGCACGTTCTCCCTGTGTTGGCATGGGTTTCCCCCACAATCCAAACACATGTGGTGCAGGTGAATTGGGTAGTCTAAATTGTCCCTAGTCTATGTGTGAATGTTTCCCAGGGATGGGTTGCGGCTGGAAGGGCATCCGCTGCGTAAAAACGTGCTGGATAAGTTGGCGGCTCATTCTGCTGTGGCGACCCTGGATTAATAAAGGGACTAAGCCGACAAGAAAATGTAATATTTTATTTGTTTGCTTAATTGTTAAGCTACAAAAAAGTGATCTGAAATCAAACGTTTAAATGGAAATGCTGTCATTTAATTTAGAAAGGACAATGCAGAGTTTGAGCAAATCAAGGCAGATTGAGCTTGACTAGTGTCTTCAGCACTGGGTTATAAACATGTTTTTACTGCAGTAGGTTTTCATTAAAGGGTTATACTGCATTAGTTAATATGACTGAAAGCAATGTTTTCTATTTATTTTTAAATATTAATAAATAAAACAGTTTTATCTTCAGCCCACAGCTATCAATGACTCTTGGTTTTTGGCCCTTCATATAAAATGGTTTGGGCACCTCTGGTCTATCGGAGATGTTTTAAACCATTTAACTCTAATGAACCTTTAAGGCATGTCGTCCAACTCTTAGTGTTAGATAATGAGACTGTGTTATCAACTCCACGTAATTCTCCGCATAATAACTGTACTTTAGCCTCCATGTTAAAACTGTAAAACAGAACAAAGTGTCTAGACCTAACAGGAGATAATCACAAATAAAACTGCCTAAAACAATAATCCAGAACTTCATTAGTCGACGCATGAAGTAACCCATTTCTGAAGTACTTATTTGTTCTGGTGGACTACTTTTGATAAGATTTGCTTTGTTGTCAATTATAAAACTTGCGCCAACTGTTAAAGAGTTTAAGAGAGAAATCACACACCCGCCCAAAGACCCTCGCCATCAGAGAAATGCTAAGTCCTACTTCACACTAGGGATGCCCATAATAACCAACTCACTGTTACCCGAAATGGTGCGTTTTTAACCGATAAATGGTATCAGTTAAACTATAAAAAAAAAAAAAACTAATAATATATATATATTTCAAGTTTGGCTGCATAAATGTGCAACCCATATTTGTTAACTCGCAGCATTGTGACCACACGCACCTACAGATGTATTTTGCCAAAGAAGCTAAATGATAGTAGAGTATTGCTGGTCACAGTTTGACAGACGAGTTGATGCCAAACCACACTGCTGCTGCTGATCGTCTCCGTCCTGGATCCGGTCATAAACACTTCTGTTTATTTGCACAATCGGAGAAAGAAGCTGCAAAACAAAACTTTCTGAAATGTGCTCTGCTTCGGAAACAAGCCGGCCACTAGTCAGAGCGTCGAGATTTTCTCCCCATCAGAGCACGCTCCGACACCGCTCATAAACACATTTGGAGAATTACAGTAATTAACAGTTCTCATAAAATATCCATTTTTAAAATAGCCTAAATAAGCTACCAATCAAACAAACCCAAAGATCTCCTTGATTTTTGCATAATGATAACTCCAAAACTGAGGCTTTCATGATAGAGCTTATAAAACATGTGTGCTAAATAATGCAATATCACAGGTAAACAACAGAATAGTTATATGCTATAGTAGCCTATACTTTACTAATAGTACTGTCACTGTCTTTCTCATGTGCAGGTCAGTTAGAGGGGACTTTTTTTTAATTAAATAACAATTTTAGATTATTTTGACCAGTTAGCGGTTAATATTCGGTAAACAAGCAGCAGTTGTCGGTCGGCAAAATGAACCGAAATGAGCATCCCTACCTCAAACGAAATGGAAGAATCAATTTCTTTGTTTGATTCGATTGAGATCACAAACTGAGAGTCAAAGCTCCACATGCAACAGACCAATAGTAGCTCAAAGATGCAATCTCACTCAAAGGCTTGCTGTAGTGAACGGTTTCACACTGCAGAAACCAAGTCAAGAAGAACTAGATTTAGTTCTTAATGAAAAACCCATTTCACTTCTCTTATCAATACGACGTGTACAGGGCCTTAATGTGTGTGTCGTCCACTTCTGATTAGACTGATGAGATGAATCTTATTAAAGCGCAGACAGAGCTGTAGAGCACATGTCAGAGTCCTTCATTTTTAGCACTGACACGCATTACTTTAGGGATTTTCTCCTAAATCAGATCTAGCTTTAACCTCGAGATGTTTTGTGAATATGAGGATTGTGTATAAGCAGCGAGTTCTACAGACCAGAATGAGTTCGAAGAGCGTGCCCTGGTCTACTTTGAGGAACTCCTGGTCCCACACGGGGATGTCGTCTGTTCTCTTCTCTTTATTCTCGTCGTCTTCAGGAGGAGGAGGATCATCTTTATGGTGCGTGCACCACTGAATCACCTGCCAACACAGAACACACACCGCAGGATGAATGTGTGTGTATACATCAGAAATCTTGACTCTTACTACTAAAGAGCTGGCTGACTGTTTAATAACTATCACAGGGTCTGAGGGAGACGTCGGAAATCTCCACAACATGTAAAAATAAACACTCTGATTTACCACAGGAAGTAAAACAGAACATTTCACAGACCAACATCATTTTAAAAGACGTCCAAGGCTGCATTTATTCAATCACAACTGTAATACTGTGCTCCAAGGCTGAACTCAACATCATTTTCCCAGTTCTTGGTTGTAAATTTATTCACAAACCTTTGAGTTGACTCTGCTAATTCCAGAGTCTGTGAAGATGTATATAAGATTTATAACAGCAGTCTTGATGAGGAGAGGAATTTCTTAATGTCAAATGTTTGGCTGTCAAGTGTATTTTAAAAAAGAAAACAAATACACACATACGATGCTCCAAATATAGTGCAAAAGCCTTATAACTGAGGAGCACACAGAAAAACAGCACAGTGAAGATCTTCACACACCACAGTATTAATCAGATAAACTGAAAATATCCCACCACAAACAACAGACAGACTGGGGTAAAGCTGGTCTAATATTCACACATTCAGACCTTCTTCATATAATTCCTGAAAAGTACTGTTTGCTGATTCCAAATAGAGAAATCATATCATCAGCCATTCACTATCAAAGCATAACATTGCTCAGTGCATGACATAGTGCTGCTGATGTTGTTTTGAAGTCATACTTGATGTGTTTTCAGACCCAATATTCAAAGTATCATGATAAAGATCAGACAGCAGGTCATAACAGTGCCTCATTATAATTAGTCTGCATTTGCCTTTTAAACTTCTGCTTCAGTATTTTATTGAACGGCAAAGTCTGATTAATCCAAAGCATCCTGAGTTATTAACTAGTGGTTCAATATGAGCTAACGACTAATCTGAAAATGAAAAGTCTGACCTTCTTCAAGATGGCGGCGTTTACATTGGGCAGAGGAACCGGATCATCATCTCCTTCATCATCCATCCCCAGATCTGAGCACAACAGAGAGCGTTACAACACCACACATCAGCATATAATGATCAGTCTCATATTGCACGCACACACGCACACACGCGCACGCGCACACACACACACACACACACACACACACACACACACACACACACACACACACACACACACACACACACACACACACACACACAATTATGTAACTGCACTGTACTGCAAGAATCTGACATTTCCATTTTATATATATATATATATTTTTTTTTTATTATGTATGAATTAAAGTTCACCAAATGACATAATTTGCTCTATTTGGAAAGAATTCATGAATTTTAGATTGACTGATATGTTTTTGTTGGAGAGAGAAATTTAATAAATTACAAGCATTGATGAATACACAGAGCAATGATAAAGATAAAACACACCATGCGCTATAGTTTTCTGGTAATCGCAACAGTATACAGGTATAAAAACTGAATAATCACATGCAAAATAACACCATGTCATCTGCACTGTATAAAAACTCAGTAAAGCAAATATTTTTTGTTTTATTGTGCGAACTGCTGGATGAGTAGTAGGAGGTGAGCTTCCCTCCGTCCAGGACATCTACTCCAGGCGGTGCATGAGGAAAGCCAAGAGACATATCAGCGACTCCAACCATTCAAGCCATAGACTTTTCTCTCTACTACCCTCAGACAGACAGTTCCGCAGCATTCGGTCACGCACCAGCCGACTGAAGGAAAGCTTCTTCCCTCAGACTATCAGGCTGATGAACACTTAACACCCCCCACACACACAGACTCTTCCATACCCCTCACTGCACAGCATCAATAAGTAGCATGCACTGCACTTTAACTAATTAAGGATTTCTACTTTGAATATTGGGCCTGATATTGCACGCAAGTATGACTTCACAACAACATCAGCACTACTTAATTCAGTGGGGGTCGGGACCCCTGGAGGGTCACGGGATAATGACAACGGGTCGCTTGGTGATTTCCAAAACTCATATAAATTTTATTAAACTATTTGAGTTACCATATTTTGCTCATAACCCACAGAAGATAGTTAAAAGTTGCGTTAAAGAAACAACAACATACAAATAAAAATCAGCCATCAGCCTTTAATTATTATGTTAAAATGTAATAAAAAGACTATAAAAAAAAAAACTGTTGCATTTCTGTGTTGTCAATACGCTCATGTTTATATACGACTATAGTTGTGTGTGAAACGTTTGTATATTTACAGTATAACCACCTTGAAAAACGGAGGTCGCGAGTCATTGACATTGTTATTTATAGAGGTGAAGTTGGTTTTATATTCGCACATTGGTTCATTTAGCAGTCCCCATATTGTTTACCATGTTACTTTGAATATTTGATCGAAATAAGCATGCAAGTACGACTTCACAGTCAATTAGATAGTGTTAATGTTGTTTTGAACAATGCTGTACTTTGATAGTCATTTGCTACTAATTAGATTTTCCCTATTTAGAATTTGCAAAGAATACTTTTCTGACATTATATTATTAAGAAGAATGTCTGAATATCTCAATATAAAACCAGCTTTACTTCTAACTTGAAAAATGAAGCTCGCGAGTCACTGACATTGTTATTTTGGGGGTCGCGGGCTGAAATGTTTAGGAACCCCTGATTTAATTGAGTGTCAGCACTGTCGCACTTTCATATTCATAAGCTGATAATATGATTTCACTATTTGGAATTATCTAAGAAAACGTTTCTTTTTCTAAAATTATATTAAAAGGTGCAAATCTGAATGTGTGATTATAAACCAACTTTACCCCAAATAGTGTATGGAAATTATGTATTGTGCATTGTGTGTGTGTGTGTGTACGTTTGTCATAAAAGCATACTTATACATATCATAAAGCTACTAAATCTCCCATACACACCACAGATCTCATATACACACAACACACAGCACATATAAAGCTCATACAGAGATCTGACATGAGAACAGACATGTCCCTCACCCTCTAGCATGGTCTTGATGGTCACTGACTGCTTGGCGATCTCCACATCCACCTCGAACATCTCTCCATCAGAGCTCTGCAGTTTAATGGTCGGCATCTGTATGAGCAACACAGTGTATTATCGATCACACACATTATTATGGGAGTCAGTCATGAGGTAAAACAGCAGTGTTCGCTTACATTGATCAGCTATAGCTCAAACACATCAACAAATGGCGATCACAAGAGAAAGAAGACATAGAAAACCCCTCGCGCTTCAGACACGCCAGATTTCCTGATTTACAAATCTCCAACGCGCACACACATTATTATTTAATCAGACAAATCACCAAATCTAACAGTAAATGCTTCAAAACAGCTTTGATATTGTGGAGAAAACAGTAGAAGATGATTAAATTCAGCGGTTTGTGATGCTAGGCTAGCGTTAGCCGCGCGGATACAGGCCTCTCATAGCAACCGCTGTTTTCATCCCGACCAGCGCTTAAACAGCGTTATTTCACACAACTTCACACATATTATAACAGTACAACACACTGCATGTTAATGCGGTGTACTGTGTGCTGCTCTTACCGTGTCTGGGAGCGCGATCAAGCTGTGAGTCTGAGCGTCAACAAGGCCTGAATGAGTCTGAGCTCAGCGTGAGTAACTGATGACCACGCATGCGTAGAGTTGGAGGAGGGATACAGCTGCGGCCGGAAGTTAAAGATAATTATTTATTAAACTACCCATTAAACTGTATTATTTTATGCACCTACCCTTAACCCAACCTTAAACCAATTATTAAAGTAATTTAAAAACTGTAAATACACCGAATATTATTATACTTTTTTATTAAATTACCCATTAAATTGTATTTTATATCGTCTACCCCTACTCTAACCCTAAACCCAACCCTCACAGTAATAAAACATATTAATTATTGCTGTACAGTGTCACAACAATTATGCTATATCTGACGTGAGTATCCGCAGCTGTATCCCTTTTAGACTTGACCACAGCATAGCACTGGACCACCTCATCAAATATCTCAACGTCACTTTCATTTTACTTTCGATTTCATCCAAAGGCCTGCAGCTTTAATTTAGCACTGAAGCGTGTTTTATTCAAGTTAAAATAGCCTGGTAGAGAGTGTTGCTTTCATCGTGCTGAATCATCCTGCGAATAAAACACCATTCGGCTACTTTCATTCAGACATCTGTCGGACACACGGACCAGTTCATCTGTGCTAGTATTGTGTAATATTTAAGACTGGGCTAATATTAATCACATTCAAAACAAAAGGTTTTGACGTGTGAGAGTGTGTGTGTGTGTTATGTACTTATATGTGACACACATACACAGAAACAAAGCTATACACAACTGTTTTATTGCATATTTAAATTAAAATCATCTACACATATATTTTATACCCAAATATAAACATTTTCTCAAATATATGCCTGCATTTATATTTGCATAATATACACAGCACACAAAACTCACTTTTATTTTAGATGCTATTAATCTTTGCCCAGCACTCATTAAAACATGTGGGCACTTTAAAATTGTACAATCAATGACTGAAGTTATGCATTTTATTAATATATTCATAAAGAATGGTCTTTGTATTCGCAGTCTTCAACAGCACCAAATGCTTGGAGACTTATATGTAATCTTTTCCTTTTTATGAACAATTATTTCTTACCCCATACGATTCTAGTGTTTCTATACATTTATAAGTCGTTTATTACAGGTGTATAGATATAAACATACACAGTGCTGAGCAGGAAAGCGTTCACCACTCCTCTCTTTTAAATTAATATTTTCCATATTATTTTAATTTAAATATATTCTCTTATTATTTCTAAAAATGTGTTCTGAGTAAACTTTTATTTTAATGAATAAAACAGTTAAATAAAACTGATTAGTTTACATGCACAAACATATATTGTCTATATTCACTGAGAAATGCATACGAGTATTCATTTATTCATCAGATCTCTGCACATTAGCATACACATTAAACACTCTAAAGGATTGTTAATCTGCATTAATTAGGGTAACCGGAGCCAGTTAGGTGAACAGCATCTGCGCTTATGTTAGTCTGTTTTCATTATTCTTGAGGTCTCCATAATCCTGGACCCGGCCGTATGCTCAGCAGTTTCTGTGGTGGTCATGGATGAGCAGAGAGCTTGAGACTGATTCCTGAAAGACCGCAGTGGCAGAAGAGTCTCCGCATTGATCCTTAATGGGCAGCCTGAACACCCACCGGTGACCGACTCACACCTGCAGTTCTCCACGATGGATGTCCAGCATTCCCCGGCACCTAGTCTGCAGCTCTGCACAGAAAACTTGACCAGAGGAGAAATGGCGGTGCCCAACTGAGCCACCATATGTCTCTCCTACACTTTGGTCAGTTGGTGAAGTTTGTTCCTCCACTGTGCTGCTTGGTTTGGGTCTTGTAGAGCTGTGCATGGTGGATTTGCTCTTCAGTGTTTGGACTCTCAGCAGTGAAGATTAAAGCACACTGAACTAAACTTCAGCTCTGAACACTGGACTGACTCAGCTTCAGCTTACCAGAACTTCTGTGTTCAGCTGCTGCCACACAATCTGCACTGGAGAAGATCTGGAGAAATATCTACAGTTTTAAAAGCACTATAGAAATAAAGATGAAGTGAACTGAAGCCGAGCACTGGATTTAAATATAATATAAAACAGCGGGAAATTGACCCAGCTCTTCAGCATCTTCAGACTCAGAGACGTTTGCAAAAAGTTGAACACACTGACAGAAACACACACCAAACAGGAGCGAGATCATCTTTATTCTTTATCTGTACCCTCATACACACACCCCATCACATAAAGCGACGGCAAGCTCATAGTCTGACACACACACACACACACACACACACACACACACACACACACACACACACACACACACACACACACACACACACACACACGCGCGCACACACACACACACACACACACACACACGCGCACACACACACACACGCGCGCACACACACGCGCGCGCGCACACACACACGCGCGCACACACACACGCGCGCACACACACACACGCGCACACACACACACGCGCACACACACACACACGCGCACACACACACACACGCGCACACACACACGGTTTCAGATTATCCTGGGATAGAAAAGCATCTAATCTCATTCCTCCCTCAATACACGGGGAGAACTGAGGGAAACACCAGTAAAGCTGAGGAGAGTTCGCTTCCGTGCTGCTGGAGGTGAAACGCAGAGAGACTCAAGGAGGAGCGCAGAGGGGCTGATGGAGGATCTGCAGCTGATATAGATATATGGCACAAACACACAGGTGCATACTCACTCACTCACTCACTCACTCACTCACTCACTCACTCACTCACTCACTCACACCTTTTGGTCCGACTGCATCAGTTCTCGGTTCAGCGCTGCTGTTCTTCTCCTCATGTTATTTCAGACTGAAGGCAGGTTATATCGGTGCGCTGCGCTGCAGCGGGTTCACAGGAAGTAGTCAGGTGTGCGGCGGGTGACGTGCGGCTCTCCTCTCCGCGGTGCTGGGTCAAACTGCAGGCTGAAAACACAAACACAACATCAGCATCAGACGCACTCATCTACCAAAGCTGCGTCCCAAATCCCATACTTGTACTGTTTATTAGGGATGCCCAGATCAATCTGTAGCAGACGATCATCACTTTAATGACTCGATTGGTACTCGTTGATCTGGCCCATCTCATGAACCAAACTCAGAGGTTTGTTTGTGTTTACCAGCAGAGGAAGAGGCACGTGCGCTCCCGGGTTAAACATCAGCAGCTACAACAGGCAAAGCATCACAGCAGCTAAAATATGCACGATGCAGTGCGTCCTGTTCATAAAGACTATTGCGTGAGTGATGCTCTCTTCCTGTCAAGTGCAACCATGCCATTTCCAGTGTTTTGAGCTGCTGCGAGTGGAGCTATCGCCCCTATCTAGTGTCTCATCTAACCGTATGACCTCTCGCTCAGCTAGTCTCCTGCTTATGCATAGCAGCTCCGGGATGTCTGCAAAGTAGATAAAATACCCCAGAAATCATGGCCTGAGAGTGCATGAGCAAGAGAACAGATGGCATAAGGGACAGTAATAATCAAAGCATTACATTTGATAGGTGAAATAAACAGAGCAGTAAAGATCTCGCGAGTGCACATCTCCCTCTCTCATGGAGCTGTTGTGAGGATATCCAGAGCTGTGGACAAGACTCGGAGACGAGCAAAACATTTGAATGGTCTTGCATGTGTTTAGGCCTTTTTACACATAACAAATGAACGATGTGTGTTTGACAACACTGCACTTCACTACAACCTGACTCCAAATATTAAATGAAATAAAAAACCTTAAGTTATATTTTTAACATGAATATTTAACAATAGAACTTGTATTTTGTTTATCGCAGTAAACGGTTTAAAGGTCTATATCTCCTTTTAGTAAAGTAGTAATGGATTTAGGAGTGCACTTCAGCTTCTCATGCATCAATCGTGTTCTTGATTGAGACATGTTGAAGTTTTCTGTCGTCATTTGCAATGCTTAAAAATGACTAATGAAGCACTTTGGCTCACCTTTTTAAATCTCTACCATCTATTCTTCTTTTTAATTTCCTTCTGACCATGACATTTCCTCACTTAACGGTTTAAGAGACATGTTTAACGCCCCATTCACACAGGGCGTCAGCGTCAACGCTTCCCATTCACTGTGAATGGGTGACGTCAGGCGTTGCTGAACTGCATTGTGGATTCGTCGCCGCCGCTTCAGAGGTGTTGCTTGCTGCAGAAGTTGGGACTAGCTCAACTTTTCAAGCGCCGACGGAAGCGTCAGCCAATCAGATCGCAGTATGCAAATACACCAGCTAGACAGTGGCCTATTGCTGACTGGATTTCATTGGCTGATGCTGCTATGACGATCGCTTCAGCCCCAACTTCAGACACGCCTTCAGTCAAGCGTTGACGCTGAAGCCCCGTGTGAACAGGGCGTAAGGGATCATGTGCAGCATCATTAAGTTTTATCATGTATAAAGCACATTTTCCCATCCACGTATGATACTTGAGTGGAGATCTCTCCTAAACATCGGGATCAGTACTCTGTATCAGCCGATCACCATGATAAAGGAACCGGTACTCTGTATCAGCTGCAAAAATCTTGATCGAAGCATCCCTACTATTTACACCTCAAAATGTAGACGAGCGCATTCACGCAGAAATATTGGATTTATTCTAAAGATGATGAAGTGCACTTTAAAGGCATGTTGATCACGTCACACACTCAACAGCAGGAGCTCTGCTCACACAGCGGAAGGGGCGGAGCTATAAGATGTTGGGTACTTTGTTTTGTGTTGAATCTGGAAAGGGCGAGGCAGTGGCGCAGTAGGTAGTGCTGTCGCCTCACAGCAAGAGGGTCGCAGGGTCGAGCCTCGGCTCAGTTGGCGTTTCTGTGTGGAGTTTGCATGTTCTCCCTGTGTTCATGTGGGTTTCCTCCGGGTGCTCCGTTTTCCCCCACAATCCAAACACATGCGGTACAGGTGAATTGGGTAGGCTAAATTGTCCGTAGTGTATGAGTGTGTGTGGGAATGCGTGTGTGGATGTTTCCCAGAGATGGGTTGCAGCTAGAAGGGCATCCGCTGCGTAAAAACTTGCTGGATAAGTTGGCGGTTCATTCCGCTGTGGCGACCCCAGATTAATAAAGGGACTAAGCAGACAAGAAAATGAATGAATGATGATGATTGAATCTGGAAAGTCCTCCTATGCGAGTGATTATGGCGCCTCCTGATGGTGAACGGGTTATACTCATGACTGCTGATATTTGGAAGTTTGGTCATTTTTTTCCGTAATTCGGCAACTGTTAAACATCCGTTTAGGAAACGGTTTGAATTTCCGTATAGTAAAAAAAAGTTAGTGTATCATTCAGGACGACACTAAAGTGCAGATGTGCCTTTTGGGATGCAGTGAAAGCTTCTTCAGCTATCAGGCTCAAGGCTTGAAACAATCCCTAGTAACTCTTCCGGCTGCAATCTTCAGTGAAGGTCATCAGTTCACCGCTCTTCACAGAGTCGAGTGCAAACACAGATACAGACACTGCAGTGTTTAAGAGCCGTGTAGATCAGTGCATCACTCACATGTCAGCTCATAGACCGACTAGCTGATCAACGCAACTTTGAAATACTCCAGTGTTTGTGTTTGCACTCTGTGAACAGAGGTGAGCTGATGACTAGGCCCACCCCGATTTTTAGCCCATCATTAATTCTGTTTACTTGAGTAAATGTGTGTAAATCTATATTTATTCAGTTTTTTAATTACAGTAATATTATTGACTAATGTAAAAATGTTCATCTGATTAATGTACAATGCAGTGTGTACAGTATTATTTTCTGTCTTTTCCTAGAGATATCATATGAGAGACTTGCTTTGTTTACCACATAATGTGATTTGCATTTTAAATATCAAATACAAGTTTAAAAGATCTTATTTTTTATTTCATATATTAAGATTTTAGTTATGATACTCCCAAAATAATTCCGCGGAAATCCGCAGATTTTTACCAAAATTCTCCGCAGAAAACAGCATCCGCAGATTCCGTCTGGCCCTACTGATGACCTTCATGGCCAATCACAGTCATTTCTGCTGAGCTTCTGAACAATGGTAAATCAGCTTTGTTTGTTTAAGGATGCGCCCAACAGCGCTCGAATATGATCAGGAAATAGACGCTTTTAAAATGTCAGTACTGATTGATGCAGAAACTCGATGCTTCTGACAGTCCCAGCACGAAGACTCAACAGCTCCGGGACGGCAGACAAGCTTTTTTTTTTTTGTGATCCCTGATACTGTTCACTTACAAAGAGTACTTGAGCGTGTCGTCCAGCTCCATGATGGCCGCCTGATTGCCGCAGCGGTAGCAGTAGTTCGGCGCGCTGAAGATTGTCACCACATTACGATCATGGCACCAGTTGTAACCCTAAGAGGAGAATAACACACTCTCATTATAGTTCAACAGCATATTCTGACATCATTTATTTCACTTTGATCTTAAATAAGCTTTTTATTTGTTAAATATGAAAAGTTAAACGAGGACGCTGATTACATTATGATGTTTGTGGTGAATTAAGTCAAGTGAGGACAGGGTTTACACTGAATTCAGCACAGTTACATGTGGACAGGGTTTATATGATGGTGTCTGTGGTGAATGAGGACGGGGTTCATGCTGTATTTAGTTAAACGCACCTCCATCACCAGCTGATGAGCTCTGGACACCAGCGTCAGGCCGTTGGCATGGTTGAAAGTCTCAGAAATATCCTGGCCAAAGGTGTATCCCGCACCTCGAGGAGAAATGCCCCATCCGCCGCGGTCATCCGGGTCTGACCACAGTAAATCACACATGGGGCCCTGAGGAGGACAGCACACACTCATCAGCCTCTGCACTCAAGAAACGGGGATAAAACGAAAAGACAAATAAATGTACCTCATGAGGAACTTCCTGCAAACGATCCAGCGCTCGGATGTGATCCAGAGTGTCTATGGACGGCGACAATCCTCCATGAAGACAGAATATCTGCAGAGCAACACATTCATAAAACTCAAAGGTACACAAAACAAAAGGTAAACCTGATTTTACCCACTGTGATCAGTGCCTTCAGGGAAATCAATAAATCTGAACATCCACTGAGATCAGACTTGTCAAAGGTTTAATGAACTATAAGATCAAGTGAGTGTCTGAACTGTCAATGATTAATTGTGAATAATAAAACCTCCTCCTGTGGATTGACGTACCTGTCCATCTACCAGGGCAGTGAGGGGAAGGTAATCGAAGAGGTCTGTGAAGAATTTCCACACGTTTGCATTGCCGTATTTCCGTAAGCACTCGTCATAAAAGCCGTACACTTGTGTGATCTGCCTGCTTTCGTGGTTTCCTCTGAGTATTGTGACACGTTCACGGTATCTGACCTACAGCACGAAGACAAAGCAGTGATTAAAATATAATATTACAATAATACATGAGAAAAGTATTAACATTTATTTATATTTCTATTACGGTCCACATCAGTTCATGACTCAGACGTCATTGCAATCGTTTACTACAAATTTTGTAAAAAATAAATAAATAAAATAAAAGGTTTCCAAGAGCCGGAGAGACTGAAGATTAAGCAGATTTATATGAACAGCAAATCTGTGGCGCAAACATACAATAAACTAGAGCTGCACGATACTGGGAAAATATGCAGTTTTGTTGTTGAGTGTTGCGATAATGATATTTCTAACGATATAACCAATTTAGATTTGACTAAACGACCTATGCATGCAGCACCACACAACTGCTTGAACCAAACTTAGTTAAACTCATTGAACTTCCCTGCGTTATGGATATTGCACATACTATTATCACGATAATGATCATTTTTTAATACTGTAAACACCATTTTGAGGACATTTGTCTGATGTTGTTTGATATTCACTTGATAAGTGTGACGTCCAGCGAAGCGGCTTCCGGGTCCAAGCGCTCTATTCAACTGTATGGGGAGACTCATGAAATTGTAATAATAAACGTTTACAAAGCGATTTAATACTTTCGAAAATCACGATCGCAGTATATATGTTCATGCCTAATATCCAATGGCCAGAAAGTGATTCATTTTTTTTATAAATTGTACAAATTTTGGTATTTATTATGCAGCAAGCCCAGAGATTGTTGTGTACACTATGATTTTATGTAAAATAAACTCTAATGTGTGATATGAATAAAAAGATCATAAACAAATAATTTCTCAACTCAAATGAATGGCAGCTTGGACCCGGAAAGAGTATTACACGCGTCACCAACACGTCACCACTTAACAAGCGGATAGGGCTGAACAATAGATCATCTGCGCATCGACATCACAGTGTGTGGATCTGCAATAGTCAGACATTAGATTATTTATTTATGATTAGGTTCAAAACATTATTATTTAGAATTATTTATACAATGATGAGCCTGTTATTTTATATCTGACTGTTCCATTTCTGCACTTGAATACTGTTAGACTCTGCAGAAAACCATAAAGCACGGTTTATTTGTTTATGATTGATATTTATTATAATTTATGCAGATGCACTGCTCAGAAAGACAAAATGACTGGATGAAATCTTTCCATACAGAGCTACTCAAATCACCTGGTGAAACTGTATACACCTCGCAGCAAAGCAATATATCGTGCAGCCAATGTTTGATGAATTCAGTTTAGCAGTGCGATGATTAATCTGGATGACTATCGATTCTCATAAACAGACTACAACAGCACAGCAACAATAATCAAATTGCCTGTTTCTTTTTTGTTTTAGTTTGTAAAATCAGTCTGATCCCACCAGTTGGAAAATGCATCAAAGCTTCTTTTTCCAACATTAGGGCTAATTTTCTGAAGTTTGTTGTGTTGGTGTAGACTGTATTCTCCTTGCCATTCGGTCTTCATGTTTGAGCAAATTGTTGGTTTCAGATCCAAAGCATAAAGTGGACAAATGTTGGGGTGTGTCAATAGTGCTTCTTTTGTCTACTTCCTCATTGCCTTTGATTCCAGCAAAACCAGATATCAAAATCACCAATCAAAAATCCTCTTATTGTATTGGATTATTGAAACGGACAGGTTTCTAAATCTGTAATCAAAAGAAATGTTCTTTGTTCAGCAGAATATATGTTTTCCAAAGCCAAGATAATAGCAAAAGCTCCCTCTGCAAAAACTGAACTCAAGTTGAGAACATACAGCTGAAGTCAGATGATGTTGAACAGATTCAGGAAATGTTCACAGTATGTCTCATATTATTTGTTCTTCTAGAAATAGTCTTATTTGTTTTATTTCAGTTACAATAAAAGCAGTTTTACATTTTTAAATGTCATTTTAAGGACATTATTATTAGCCGCTTTTTTCTCGATAGTCTACAGAACAAACCATCATTATACAATAACTTGTCTAATTACCCTAACCTGCCTAGTTCACCTTATTAACTTAGTGAAGCCTTTAAATGTCACTTTAAGCTGTATAGAAGTGTCTTGAAAAATATTATTTACGGTCATCATGGCAAAAATAAAATAAATCAGTTATTAGAGATGAGTTATTAAACTATTATGTTTAGAAATGTGTTAAAAGAATCTTCTCTCCATTAAACAAAAATTGGGGAAAAAAATAAACGGTCTAATAATTAATGGGGGCGAATAATTCTGACTTCATATTCCTCTTTATGGTGGTTCATCACAAACACTGATTCTTCTGATCTGGAGTGATATTAAAGGTCAGTTTCTGAAAGGCTGATAAAATGTGCATTATCTGTCAGCGTTACTGTACAGGATTGACATTTTAAGATTTTAAATTTAAGAATTTTTTTTTGTTTTTAAAATAAAACCATAAACATTTAAATGTCAAATTTAATTCAAGTACTTTTACATAGTGTAGGAATAACCCTGACTAAACTGCGCCTCTTACTTTGAGAGCGACGAGCAGCGAGACGGTTTCCACAGAGTAATAGCCTCGGTCCACATAATCTCCCATGAACAGGTAGTTTGTGTCTGGAGACTTTCCTCCGATTCTGAAGAGCTCCATCAGGTCATGAAACTGGCCGTGAACATCTCCGCACACGGTGACCGGACACCGCACCTCCTGCACATTCGACTCCTTCGTCAGGATCTCTTTAGCCTGCAGAGAAAAAAAAAACAGCATCACAACCATCAGATTCCTGACCTGTTGATTAGGCATGAGATGATAACTGCTTTCAAGCTTTTCCCCGGTTTGGAAACTCAAAAGTTTTAAAACTGCTTAAAATATTCTGTTATGTTGTTCCTAAGGTGTATGCTAGTTGTGTTTTTTACAACTGTTTTATTTCATTAGGGGCAACAGTATCACCGGCTGAAAAGGATCCTCCACATCATGAGCTACTGGTCAGCCTACAATTCAGGAAACATCTGAAAAACAAATCACCTATAAAGCAACATCCAGCTGCTGTAGAGCTGAACTGTGCAGAGGTTTACTGTATATCCACAGAAGAGACGGATCTCCAAAAACACCTTTTCAAGATGCAGAGAAATCTGCGTTTTACACTAATGAAGACAGCAGAAGACAATCATTTACTTAGATTTCAGAGCAGTGAACAGGCTAAAATAATCTGTCAAATGTTTCTTAAAAATAAAATATATTGTGTTCAATGGGGGAAAGTCGTTTATTAACCAGACATTTAATATGAGCTGAGCTAACTAAAGTCATCTGGAGAAATAATTATATTCATATCGCAATGAATATAGCAGAAAAACAAAACATTACAGTGTCAGTGTTTCCATTATTGCACAGAATTAGTTACTTTAATATATATTTTTTTATATAGTTATATTGTATTATTTTATTAAACAAATAAAACAGATGTTATTGATCTTATTTTCATGACGGCATGTCTTTTCTCTCTGCTCTTACATTGTGATATTAATGCTGAAGTGAGAATACAGAAAAAAACCTGCTCAGTTTCACATGTATAAATTTGAACAAACGCAAAGGAATTATATCTCCATAACAGCAGCATATGAGACTAGTACAGACTAGAATGCATATAAATAGAATGTTTTGCTCTAAACTTCACGAACTGTCTTTAAAAATAGAGATGTTGCAAATACCACTGCAAAATTAGAGAAAATACAGCATATAATGTCATTTTAGATCTTTATATTGCATGCTGAAGAAAAACATTCCCTTTCACTGTTTTTATCAACTGTTTAAGCTTAATCCACAATATCGAACTGAACAATCGCTTAAAGAGCATACACCTGCATGAAGACAGTGGACATTTGGTGGATTAAAACAACACTTCTACTTCGTATCAACTAAAAATCATCTTAATATTACCAGGTGAAAATGGGTCATAGGAAGATGCTGACTAATATAAAGTCTTACGTCTGGACACGTCACTGGAACTGCATTACAATCAGGGCTGTGATCAACTCTCCTTGAACAAACAGAGCAGCAGCATACACTGTTCTAGTAAATTTACACACTCACTGGACAGTTTCTACATGAAGTACGAGCACTTCTCTCTTTCATTTCCTGATCAAGCTTTTTCTGAAAACATTATTACTGTGCATCATGCCATTATTATCAAACTCAAGTTCTGCAAAGCATCCACACCCACGCACACAATATAAATATCAGAGATACTCTAGATCAGGGGTCACCAACATGGTGCCCGCCTGTTGCCCGGAGGTCTCTTCTAAAAATAGCTCACCATAGCGCCACTTACCAGTAAGCTCCATCTAATATAGAAGTAATCATTTAAAAAATGTTCATATTTGCAGAGATATATAAAAAATAAAGTGTTGCACATTGATACATTAAATACAGGGTATTTCCTACCCTGTTAAATCATTGTTGAAATTTGTTATTCGAGAAGTGTTTATCAAACTGGTAGCCCTCCACATTGATCGGTACCCAAGAAGTAGCTCTCAGTTTCATAAAGGTTGGTGACTCCTGCTCTAGATCAATGGTTCTCAAACTGTGGTACTAGTGGTACACAGGCTTCCTTACAGTGGTACGCGGAGGAATGAAATATGTCATGTACATGCTTAACACATATAAAAATTTATCAAAAAATTATGTATATAATATGCCATATAGCCTATATTTGAGGTCTTCTGCCCTGTTCTTTAACGGTGTAGAGGTGTAGCTGCTTTACTGGGCCTACTATGCTATTGTATTTTAATACTGCTCATTTTGGTGGTACTTGGAGAGACAATTTTTTTTGAGGTGGTACTTGATGAAAAAAGTTTGAGAACCACAGCTCTAGATAACTCTAAAATGACAGACACAGATCAGCTCAATAAAATAGTTTTAATAAAATCCTAATACATTAACTTGCAGTTACTTCCAAAACAATCCTACAGAGCATCTAATACATAAATAACTTCAGTGCAAATAAAAATTAAATAGGGCTCTCATATACTATAAAATAAAACATTATAATCATTATTTTTAATAACATTTTGTCTGTTCACTGGTTATGAGATATTATATAGAATAAAGCACTGACATCAGCCGCAACTCTCCGTAAACATATTTCAATAAAAAGCTATTTAATTAATTCTATTTCATAAAACTGTTCGGTGATGCGTCTGCTTTTAAATCTACTGGTTATACATTTTAATTAATTATTTGTTAATCAAAAGAGAGCTTACAACAAAACTGAAAATTCTGTCATTTCATTCACTCACCCTTTACTAGTTGTAAACCTGTTCTAACTGGTCTATGACTCCCACAGTGTTTGTTTTTCCTACTATGGAAGTATTGTCTTGCTTTCAGAAATAATATGTCATTAAGTTAGTTTTTCCTTAAAACAACCCCATTGGCAGATTATTTAACTTGTTTTAAGGAAAAACTCACTTAATTTTGGCATATTATATCTTAAAACAAGACAATATGTTTTGCGTGTCTAGAAAATTCTGCTTGATTTAAGAGTTTTTAGATATTTGGACTAGAAACAAGAAAAAAAGTAAGAAAAGCATTTATTGCAGTGTAAGCAGCACTATTTAATTAACTGTACAATGTTGTACTGTGATAGTGAATGTCTGATCATGATATGATTACCCTATTTATTTGCAAAGAATTCTTTCACGCAATTAAGAAGGTGAATGTCTTAATATGCGAACATAAAACCAACTTTAGCCCAAAGTTGTTTAGCCATTTTATCTTTTGATGGAGGATTTTGTTCTTAATGTGCAACAAACAGAGCTGGAGTACAAACCCCACTGCAGCACCAGAGGCCAGCCAGGCAGAATGAGCGATCAAGACCTCCATCATTCGTCATTTACACCTCCTTGCAGACTTTGGCCAAATATGTTGGACATATAATATGTGTAGAATCTCAGTACTGTGACAGCGAGTACAGAAGCAGATCACCGACGCCATTTTAAGACTGAGGAAGAAGCTGCTCGCAGATGCGGCGGGTTTTAATTACCAGATTGAGGTAAAGTTAGTTTAATATTCGCACATTCAGGTATTCACCATCTTTGTATAATTTCATTAAAGCATTCTTTGCAAACTCTAAATAGGGAAATCATATTATCAGTCAATGACGGTCAAAGTAAAGATTGTTGACAGCTAATTAAATAGTGCTGATGTTGTCTTGAAGTCATTCTTACATGTTATTTGAGGACCAATATTCAAAGTAACGTTAGCAGTAAGTTATAGAAAGAGCGTGTAACAAGTTGTGCACACAACAGTAAGTTATGTCATTATAATTCATCGATATTAGCCTTTTTAAATTCTACTTTACCGTGTCCCATTTAACGCCAAATCCGAATGTGTAACCATAAAACCAACTTTATGCCAACTAATAATGTAAACACCGGAAAACCTGCACAGAACGAAATATACTCTGTTAACACTAAGGTTAAATCACAATATACTCCCGTAGAATCGAGATCATCAGTGAGGCTAATATAACAGCATAACCTCCTAATATTCGTCTCAATTGACTTTCTATAACGATTTAGGACAGAAGCGTCGGTTTGTGTGGTGTTTAGTGAGCTAAACATGAACAGTCGTAGTTTCGCAGAGTCTGTTTAAAAAAACCGCCGCCATCTTGTAAAGCTGCGAAGAACACAGGGGAAACGCAAAATCGCAGAGCTAGATTGTGTAAAAGTGTTTTGTGGTCTCACCTTTTCACAGAGGGTTTTAACTTGAGTTTCTGACAGCTGTTTGCACTCGTTGAGCTGCTCGATCCACTGGTCCAGCTCCTTCGCGAACGCCTTTTCCTCCATGTCTGTTTTTAACGTTGCTCTTCTTCACGTAGACTGCTGATTTCTCTCCGCGAATGTCCACCCGGTGTACCTGGTCACTGTGAGGCGCACATGTGTCCTGGATCCCGAGAGAATGAATCTGAGTAGCCTCGGTAAACCGAACTGAAGGAGAGGATCCCCGGGAGGAGAAGCGCACCGCGGCCTTCCGTCCCGCCCTGAGCCTGTGTTCACTTTAGCCTCCAGCCAAAACCGGCGCGGCGATAATTGGCTGCTCACTGCTGCGCATGTACGACACTCCTCTGTGATTGGACAGCCGCAGCGCTTCTAGCTTTCTGACTGGTTCGCAAACACGTCGTCGGGCGTTTTCCTTTACAGTAAAAGGATAAATCTGGAGAAAAAGCGTTTACTTTACAATTATGTGTAGCATATTGATCATTATAGAGAACCGAACCTGCAAAAAAAGTATATATATATATATATATATATATATATATATATATATATATATATATATATATATATATATATATATATATATATATATAAAGCTTCCAATAAATTAATTAATGCATTATTTCCTTCATTTAATATTTTTAGCATTTATTGTTAATTTATATACTATTATTTTGAATAAATTTATTCTATTATTTCATGATTATATAATAACTGCTTGTAATTATTTAATTATTAATTTCATATATTTGTTTTTCCATGCATTTGTATATTTTATTATTTAATAATTGTTATATTGTTTTGAGTGTTTATATTATATTAATTATATTAATTATATTATATCATATTATATTATATTATATTATATTATATTATATTATATTATATTATATTATATTAATTATATTATATTATATTATATTATATTATATTATATTATATTATATTATATTATATTATATTATAGTTTACCAGTCAGCTTTTAGCCCCATAAAAGACTGCTTTGTATGTATTTTTCTTGTAATGTGTTGTAGATGTTCTTTTGTTTGTCTGTCTCGGTTGCTGAATTTAGTCTGTGACTGAATGCTCAAAAACTCATTGTGCATGCAGAAACCAAACTGGATTACAACATTCAGTCATTCATTAATTCATTTTCATCCACTTATCCAGGGCCGGGTCACTGGGGCAGCAGTCCTAGGGGAGAACTCCAGACTTCCCTTTCCGCAGACACTTCCTCCAGCTCCTCTGGGGGATCCCGAGGCGTTCACAGGCCAGCCGAGAGACATAGTCCCTCCAGTGTGTCCTAGGTCTTCCTCGAGGCTTCCTCCCGGTGGGACATGCCTGGAACACCTCGGTAGGCATCCATGAGGCATCCGAAACAGATGCCCGAGCCACCTCAGCTGACTTCTCTCGCTGTGTAGGAGCAGCCGCTCCACTCTGAGCTCCTCCCGGGTGACAGAGCTCCTCACCCTCTCTCAGCTCCTTCTTTACCCCAACGGACCGGTACATCGACTGCATTACTGCTGCCGCAGCACAGATCCGCCTGTCAATCTCACACTCCATCCTTCCCTCACTTGTGAACAAAACCCCAAGATACATGAACTCCTCCACCTGGGGTAAAGACTTTCCTCCAACCTGGAGATGACAAAACCTCTTTTCCAGTAGAGCACCATGACGCCATGACGGGGCCCCACTCTGGAGCCAGGCCTGGGATTGGGGCTTGTATGCGAGTGCCTGGTGGCTGGGTTTTTTCCCACGGAACCCCGACGTGGAGCAGCCTGGAACCATCCTCCCGCTGGCCCACCACCTGCAGGGGAAGCCGTAAGGGGCCGGTGCATTGTGGAATGGGGTGGTGGTCAAAGGTTAGGACCACGACAACCGATTGTCAGAATTATTACAAATAATAGCAAAATCAGAGCTTGGAAATGCAAACTGATATATTCTACTGCACACTACATTAAATAAATATATATTATATAAATATTTATATTATATATGAAATAAAAGGAGAGTTCAGCCCAAAAAAAATCTATTTAAATCCATAGTATAAACACAAATTACAGTCAATTGCTATTGGTTTACTCCATTCCTCATAACATCTTATTTTGTGTTCGGCACAAGAAAGAAACTTCTGCAACAAGTGAGGAAATGATGTCATAATTTTTAATGAACTATCCATTTAAACTATTTCAAATAAAAAGGTTGAATCATTTTGCACAGTAATGTTTATCACATTTTTAAATAGCACAGAAGAACACTGCAGCTGTTTAAAGCAGAATATTGCAGACTACAGAAAACATTTGATTTAAAGCAAGTTAAATAGACACAAAAACCTTTTATTGAAAAGGAATAAAAATAAATTAATAATACAAAATAAATAACTTTTTTATTTTTATTGTCGTCAAGTGTTGAATATAGATGACAATATGCAAAAATGAGAATATCCAATAAAATATTAATATAAATACAATAACAGGGGATATCATAATAGCTTAAATTATTCACTTATAAACCTAGCGAGTTTTGCTTTATTATTTTGTTATAAAAATACACATATAAAACACTTTAATAAGCATATATATAAAATAAACAAATAATAAACAACAGAGGAAAACAAACCGCTGCGGCTGTTGCCAGCCAGGTCGCTCGTGACGTCAGCGGCGCGTCACACCTCTGATCCTGCAGCTGCCGCTCATCTGCTCGTTTTATCAAACAATATTGCGTTATTAAACTATTAAATCATGTCAACACAGGCCAGACGAAGACTCATGAGGGACTTCAAGAGGTTTGTGTCTTCATTTCATTTTTACGCGCTCGGAAACGGCGAGGAATGGCTTTAGACTGTCGACTAGCCGCTAGCAGCGTTAGCAGGGCCTGTGCTGCTGCCGTTGTTTTTACCACAGAGTACCAGAGTACAGTATCAGCAAACAAAACCTCAGCACAGAAACACAGATAGCGGGCGTCAGCTTGTGGAGGTCAGCCCTTTATAACTAGTTTGCGGCCTACTGTACATTAGCTTCACTGTGAAAGATGGAACAGCTTTGCATTGTGCACTTGCGGAGTATTATTATTTAAAGAGGAGCAGTGCAGTGCCTTTAGTCGATGTGGATTCACGCATTAAGTTACTAATGAACAATACATGTCTTACAGAATTTATACTTCAAAATAGTACTGATTGTTGCTGGTTTATGCTCATCTCAGGTGCCGCGACATGTATTATAACAATCATTTTAATTCAGGTAGTATTTAATGAAAAGGTGTAGTTGAACATTACAGTAAATGTTAACATTGGAGTGATGATATCCTTGAGCAATGTAGGATAGAGAGAAAGAACATGAGGGAATATTTGTAATTAACATAAACTAATAAAAACAATTATATAAATTAAAACATAAAAATAATAAAGTAAATAATAATAATATAGTAAAATAAATCAAATCAGCTGAAAGTTGCTGCAGGCTTTGCATGAAACTGAATATTGAGTAGGGGGCGGGGTTTATTTTGACTCATTTGTTATTGGCAGCAAACTAACGGTTGGAGCCTGGAGGGGCTTGACTAAACATATGGCGTTATATATTATATTGTTTTCATTTAATTTAATTTTCCTTTAGCTTAGTCCCTTTTTTAATCTGGGGTCGCCACTGCGGAATGAACCGCCAACTTATCCAGCATATGTTTTACACAACGGATGGCCTTCCAGCTGCACCCCAGTACTGGGAAACATCCATACACACTCATTCACACACACACTCATACACTATGGACAATTTAGTTGATCAATTCCCCTATAGCACATGTGTTTGGACTGTAACCGGAGCACCCGGGGGAAACCCACACCAACACGGGGAGAACATGCAAACTCCACACAGAAACACTAACTGACCCAGCCAGGACTCGAACCAGGGACCTTCATGCTGTGAGGCCACAGTGCTGAACATTGCGCCACCGCTGTTGCAGAGTAGAAGCTGATGGGCAGATTTTGATTAAAGATTACCAAAGCAGATTTTTCAGTGGAATAATGTGCATGAAGTAGTTCTACTTATTTAATAAATCATTTAACTTGGTTAATAACTACTCTGTAAAAAGTATAGTTATTAACTTATTCAGTTTAAATTTGAACTCATTTGAGTCACAGATGGACAAACCTCACCACTGAGTTACATTCCTAAAAGCTGGGCTGTCCATATAAGATCCAGATGTGGTTTAAAACAACCCGGTATTTAATTTGAGTGTAGAAATGAACTGTAAGCCTACCTTTAAACTAACCCGAACCTGTGTAGTAATTGGCGAACTGGTATTAGTAATGTAAGTTAAATATAAATGATCATTAAAGTTCTAAATAGCCCCGCCTTAAAGAACTGACAGCCCCGCCCTAAGGGACTGATGATAGCCCTGCCCTTTAGGACCAATAGCCCCACCCAAAGGACTGATAGCTCTGCCCTAAAGGATAGATAGACCTGCCTTAAAAGACTAATAGCTCCACCCTAAAATACTAATAGCTCCGACCTAAAAGACTAATAGCTCCGACCTAAAGGACTAATAGCTCCGCCCTAAAAGATAGAGGTCCTGCTTTAAAAGAGTAATAGCTCCACCCTAAAGGACTAATAGCTCCGTCCTATCCGTCCTAAAGGATCAGTAGTCCCACCTTAGAGGATGAATAGCTTTACTCTTAAGGACTAATAGCCCTGCCCTAAAGGACTAATAGCTCCATCCTAAAAGACTGATAGCTCCAGCCTGAAGGACTAATAGCTCCACCCTAAAGGATCAATAGTCCCACCTCAAAGGACTAATACCTCCACCCTAAAGGACTGTTAGCTCTGCCCTGAAGGATAGATAGCTCCACCCTAAAGGACTGATAGCTCCACCCTAATGGACTGATAGCTCCGCCCTAAAGGATCAATAGTCCCACTTCAAAGGACTAATACCTCCACCCTAAAGGACTGTTAGCTCTGCCCTGAAGGATAGATAGCTCCACCCTAAAGGACTGATAGCTCCACCCTAATGGACTGATAGCTCCGCCCTAAAGGATCAATAGTCCCACTTCAAAGGACTAATACCTCCACCCTAAAGGACTGATAGCTCTGCCCTAAAGGACTGATAGCTCCGCCCTAAAGGACTGATAGCTCCGCCCTAAAGGATCAATAGTCCCACCTCAAAAGACTAATACCTCCACCCTAAAGGACTGATAGCTCTGCCCTAAAGGACTGATAGCTCCACCCTAAATGATAGCTCCACCCTAAAGGACTGATAGCTCCACCCTAAAGGACTGATAGCTCCACCCTAAAGGACTGATAGCTCCACCCTAAAGGCATTCCATGTGACCAGAAAATGTTGTTTAGAGGGGGTTTTGATATTTGATTAAAGATTATGAGGGCAAAATAATGTTTACAAAATAGTGAAGTGCACAGATACAGCGATATAACCAGCGCTACTAAACACACATAAACATAACAAGAGTAAATTCTGATTTCATGTCGACTAGAATAGATTGTTAATACAGCTGAAACACAGATACACGCACACAGAGAGAGAGAGAGATGAGCTTTCTCAATATATCCCCTTGCTCTTATTTGTTTTCAGACTTCAAGAAGACCCTCCGACCGGCGTGAGCGGCGCTCCTTCAGAAAACAACATCATGCTGTGGAACGCTGTCATTTTTGGGTATGTTTGCTGAGATTTAAAGGCACAGTTCACACACAACTTGAGCATTCCCTCGTCATTTACTCGCACTGAGGAGTTCTGTTGAACACAAAAGAAGATATTTTGAAGAATGCTGGAAACCTGTAACCATTGACCTCCATTGTATTTGTTTTTCCTACAACGAAAGTCAGTGGTTACAGGTTTAGTGTATAAAACAATAAAGAAACTCAAAGGTTTATAACCACTTGAATAAGAGTAAAAATGAAATACTTTTACTGTAAAGTTGATTTAATAGATTGTGTTTAATACTTTAATACTCTTTAATTGTGTAGTTATTAGTTAATTACAATGTGTTTGCCTTAAATACTGTAAATAAATTCAGCAGTTCTGTATAAATCAGTTGAGAGACACAGAGGAAGTGTACTTTGTGATATAATTATGTAGCCAATTTATTCTATTTGTAAGTAATTTACAAGGAAAGTATCATTTATCATGACGATTGCTCGTGCTTTATAAACAACAGACAGAAATGAGTTCTGTGCTCTGCCAGTTCATGATGTTAATCTAGAACCTTTATTTCTTTTGCTGTTCAGATTTTTACTCAATAACTCCTCTGTTTGCTTGCAGGCCTGTAGGAACTCCCTTTGAGGACGGTGAGCCTTACATTTCTTTATAATTGATTTAGCTGATCAGTCTGTTGTTCATAACCAGCAGCTCAATCAGTCAACAGTTAATGACTCACTGATCCAAATGATGCGGTCAGAGCGAGTCTCCAATTATGGACTCACATATTCAGAAAATGTTTAATTAGCTAAGAGGATCAATAAACACTGGAATAAATGCATTGTTAATGTTAGTTTATGTAACTATTAAGTACTCTGTTTCTGTCTGAGTTTGAAGGTTATTCCACTTGAGTGTAGTGTGAGGTCTATGAAGATGGATATAGTTCATAGCCCCTTCACACAGTGATACCGGTAAATATCTGGAAAATTTCCGGAACGACTTTACCGGTATATTCAAAAAAGCGCTGTTCACACAGGCGAGGACGTTACAGAATCTTTCCAGAAAAGAGCATTCACACATCCATTCCAAAATAGCGGTAAAGTCTAAACATCATTAACCAGAAATAAGCTGTAAACGGCTGCGCTTGTATTTATAAACATTTGACTACATCACAAACTCTGTGGATGATCAGTATTGTGAACAACTCCGATGAAAACACATAGAGAAACACTTTTGCATGTGGAGATGTTCGTAATATGTGTGTGTGCTGGCGCTCACTGGCTGTTTCACAGACACGTAAAGCTTGAAGGTAAACAAACAACGGCTTATCATAAGCATCTTATTGATGATTATTTACACGGTTGGCATTGAGAAGAACATATAAACGTTATCTGCCTAACTTCTAGCAGCTAAATGTGTCTGGGACTATATTTAAAGGCTTTTATTCTCATAAACTGCGCGGACGTGAAGGCGTCTGACTGTTCTGATTGGCTAAAGCAAACGTCTCACGTTCTAGACGTGCACAAGCTCTTTCCGGCAATCTTCCTTCTGCGTTCACACAGCGCAGCATTCCGGCAATAACCGGTAATGTTACAACTTCTCTTTCCGGAAAATAGCCAGAACGAATTTACCGATATTTTCAAAAAGGGCCTGTTCACACATACACACCTTTCCGGAAAATTGCCGGTCATTTACTGCAAAGGTGTGTATGTGTGAAAGGGGCTCATGTGTCTGTGTGGACAGTGCTGAACATCATGCGCACAAAAGGCTTAAACACACACACAACAGTGTACAACACAAACACTCTTCTTTCTTTACAGCAGAGGTGTCAAACTCAATTCCTGGAGGGCCGCAGCTCTGCACAGTTGAGTTCCAACCCTAATTAAACACACCTGATCAGACTAATTGAGTCCTTCAGGCTTGTTTGAAACCTACAGGTAAGTGTGTGTGAGCAGGGTTGGAACTAAACTGTGCAGGGCTGCGGCCCTCCAGGAATTGAGTTTGTCATTCCTGCTTTACAGTTTAAAGCATTGTTTTTATTTATTTATTTATTTTTTATAATTATTTTTTAGGGGTTTTCACCTTTATTGATAGGACAGAGGAGATATAGAGACAGGAAAGTGTGGGGAGCAGAGATAGGGGAAGGATCAGCAAAGGACCTCAAGACGGGAATCAAACTCGGGTCGCTGTGAGCACCTCGGTGCTATGTGTCGACGTACTAACCACTAGGCTATTGGCGGCGACCAGTTTAAAGCATTGTTTCCTGACTAAATGTGGCGTGTCTTTATTAAAGCAGCACACAGGCATGATGAAAGGTGCTGTAATGGTTTGGTGGATGTGTTCATCTCTCTCTCTCTCTACAGGAACATTTAAGCTGGTTATTGAGTTCTCAGAAGAGTATCCCAACAAGCCGCCGACGGTTCGCTTCGTCTCCAAAATGTTTCACCCCAACGGTGAGCTGCTGTGTGTGTGTGTGTGTGTGTGTGTGTGTGTAAATGAGGATCTGCGTTTGCTGTGTTTAACTGCTGTGTGTGTGTGTGTGTGTGTGTGTTCAGTGTATGCGGATGGCAGTATATGTTTAGACATTCTCCAGAACCGATGGAGTCCCACATATGACGTCTCCTCCATCCTCACATCCATCCAGGTGATTCTCTACACACACACACACACACGGAAACACACACGCATTTACTACAAAATTTTTAGCTTCACACATACACACACACACACACACACACACACACACACACACACACACACACACACACACACTCAATGCATTGGTTTGGACACTTGTAGCTTGTTAGTCAGGGGTCAGAGGTCATAACCTGAGCATTAACTTATGAACACTTTGCCTCGGTTTCACTTTCTAAATGTACAGTTAAACTCATTAGCACTTTCAGGAATGCCTGTTCATGTGCTCTCATGGCTTTGCAGTCAATTAATGTGATTATAATGGAGGCCAATGGGGAAAAAACAGCATCAACATCACCACAGGGGGCTCAGTCTGCCCAGAGTGTGTTATTAAAGCATTTTCAAAATAAAATTTGTCTGCAAAACTCACTCTGTCTGCTGAAACACAGAGAAAGCTGTGACCAAATGAAGACTCAAAATCAGCCCAGAGTGCATGAGAATGACCCAGCAGCACACAAGAGTTAAAAATCCATCAGATGTGTCAAGTTGAGATAAACATGAAGAGCATTTAAAACCTTAAATACAAAGAGTCAAGCTGTAAACTCTGTGCTGCTCACTGAGATGTTTCAGAATAGAGACAGACGAGCGCTAATGTGCTCAAATATACACCCCCTGACAAAAGTCTTGTCGCCTATGCAAGTTTTAGGAACAGCAAATAATAAGTTGTCTTCTAGTTGATGATTTGGTGTCAGAAGTGTCTCTATGAAAGGTGAAGGCCTCTATATGACTCTTATTTGAGCACAATAGTATATGATCATGTCTTGATGTTGACTGATTTGATGAGGACAGTGCGGTCTGACTCTGCTCAGACTAAAGTGTCATCACTGAACAGAAATAATGTCCAGTATAGAATATAAAGTCCTGCTGCAGTGGAGACAGAATGAATATTGTGTCTGACTCCATCATGAGCTTGGAGGACTGCATCCATACATCTCTGACATGACTCACATCACTGATTAATAAAGTCATCTGGAATGAAGAAGAAAGCCTTCAGCAGGATCCCAGAGCTCATCAAGAGTCTTTGTGTTCATCTTTAACGCCTCCTCCTTCATCAGCTCAATAATGTTGATATCTGGTGACTGGGCTGGCCAATCCTGGAGCACTCTCTGCTTTCAGGAGCTTTGATGTGGAGGCTGAAGTATGAGCAGGAGCGCTATCCTGCTGGAGAATTGTCCCTCTCCTGTGGTTTGTAATGTAATGGGCAGCACAGATGTCTTGATACCTCAGACTGTTGATGTTGCAGATCTCTCCATACTGAATGACCCCCAAACCATGATTTCTCCTTCACCAAACTTGACTGATTTCTGTGAGAATCTTGGTCCATGCTGGTTCCAGTAGGTCTTCAGCAGTATTGGTGATGATTGATGCAGATCAGCAGATGATCCAGCAGAGGAATCCACCTTCTGACACTTTTACACACGATCAAATAGAAGTCCAGTTGTTATTTGCTGCTCTTATAACTGAGCTCCACCACGAGACTTTCATCAGGTAGTGTTCACGTGCCAGTAAGAGTCCTGTGTGTACCTCCTCTACATGTTGAATGTTTCCTCAATTGTGAGGAACTTGAGTATGATCCTCTTTCCTCTACTGGAATGTGTTGTTTTGCATAATTAGCTCACTGTGTGTGTGTGTGTGTGTGTGTGTGTGTGTGTGTGTGTGTGTGTGTGTGTGTGTGTGTGTGTGTGTGTGTGTGTGTGTGTGTGTGTGTGTGTGTGTGTGTGTTCAGTCTCTGCTGGACGAGCCAAACCCGAACAGCCCAGCGAACAGTCAGGCGGCTCAACTGTACCAGGAGAATAAGCGTGAATATGAGAAGAGAGTTTCTGCCGTGGTGGAGCAGAGCTGGGTGGACTCATAACACATTAAACACACTCTCTCTCTCTCTCTCTCTCTCTCTCTCTCTGTGTGTGTGTGTGTGTGTGTGTGTGTGTGTGTGTGTGTGTGTGTGTGTGTGTGTGTGTGTGTGTGTGTGTGTGTGTGTGTGTGTGTGTGTGTTAGGGCTGCACTATATTGGACAAATCTGACATTGTGATATATAGATTTTCTGAGATATACAGCTGAAGTCAGGATTATTCGCCCTCCTGTGAATTTCCTTTATATTTCCCTCATGATGTTGAGCAGATTCAGGAAATGTTCACAGTGTTTCCTCTAATATTTGTTCTTCTGGAAAAAGTCTGATTTGTTTAATTTGGGTTAGAATAAAAGCAGTTTTTAATTGTTTTAAAGTCATGTTAAGCTCAATATTATTCACCCCTTCAGCAATATTAGTGTTGGATTGTCTCCAGAATAAACCACTGTTATACAATGACTTGCCTAATTACCCTAACTTTACCCTAATTACCCTAGTGAAGCCTTTACATGTCACTTTAAGCTGAACACTAGTGTCTTGAAGAATATCTAGACTAATATTATGTGCTGTCATCATGGAGAAGAGAAAATAAATCAGTTATTAGAGATGAGTTATTAACACTATTATGATTAGAAATGTGCTGGAGAAATCTCTAGAAATTAGGGACAGACATATACAGGAGGGTGAATAATTCTGACTTTAACTATATATATGTATATATAAATATACAGTTTCATCAGATGAGCTGAAAACTGCTATTTGAATAGAATATTAATAAATGAGGGAGACTGGGATGATTCTGAAGGTAATAATTCATGAAATGTAATAATCAAATGACAGGCGTAGATAAATACTATAGAGAACTGAAATGAACAGTGCTTTACGGTTTTCAGGACAGTCGAATAGTATTCAGGTTCAGAATATGAATAATCAAATGTAAAATAACACTGCAGTAGTCTTTACTGTATTAATAATTCAATAAAATGATTCTTTATTAAAGTTATAGATGGTCAAATGTGTGATGTGCCTGAACACTCTCAGGCCTTAAAACCATAATCCTTCACTCATGTTATGGGTAACCTCTGCAATAACGACACACTTCTCATGTGCTCTGGACTGTTTTCCTTGGTTAATTATAATCAGAACTCAACTCATAGATCCTGCAGTGTGACTCTAGTAAACGTGTGCATTGCAGGATCCATGCTGAAACCATATATTGTGCAGCCCTAGTGTGTGTGTGTGTCTGTCTGTCTGTCTGTGTGTGTGTGTGTGTGTGTGTGTGTGGGGCTTATTTATTTTTTTAAGTGCATGGTAAGTTATATTGCTAACAACATCTGAAACGTACCATTGTTGGTTTGAGGAGTTTAAGAGGTGCAGATTTAATCCCTGAACATCTTTAGAGATGCGCTGTTAAAGGGACAGTTCACCCTCAACATCAAGACTCTCATCGTTTACTCATCCTTCACTTGTTTATCAGAGAAAATAAACATATTAAGATATATATATATATATATATATATATATATATATATATATATATATATATATATATATATATATATATATATATATATAAAACAAACGCGCAAGAAGATATTTTGAAAGATGTCAGAAACTTGTAACCATCAACTTCCATTGTGTTTTTTCTACTGTGGTACAGGTTTTTGTAGGGTTTTCTGTAGTGCAATATGGTAAAGATTCAAACTATTGACTTCCATTGTTTATTTATTTATTATGCAGCAGGTTTAACTATTAACATGATAAAAAGAAGCAAAACAAAAGCAGAAATTGGGATTATTTGTATATAAAGCATTGACTGTTATTGGTATTAGATGTACAGTTGAAGTCAGAATTATTAGCCCCCCTGAATTATTAGACCGCTTGTTTTTTCCCCCAATTTCTGTTTAACGGAGAGATTTTTTACAACTCATTTCTAATCATAATAGTGTTAATAACTCATCTCTAATAAGTGATTTATTTTCTTTGTCATGATGACAGTAAATAATATTAGACTAGATATTCTTCAAGACACTAGTGTTCAGCTTAAAGTGACATGTAAAGGCTTCACTAGGGTAATTAGGGTAAAGTTAGGGTAATTAGGCAAGTCATTGTATAATGATGGTTTGTTCTGTAGACTATCGAGAAAAATATAGCTTAAAGGGGCTAATAATATTGACAATAAAATGGTGTTTAAAAAATTAAAAACTGCTTTTATTCTAGCTGAAATTAAGCGAATAAGACTTTTCCCTAAAGAAAAAATATTATCAGACATACTGTGAACATTTCCTGAATCTGTTCAACATCATCTGGAAAACATTTTAAAAAGAAGAAAAAATTCAAAGGGGGCGAATAATTCTGACTTCAGCTGTACGTCTCTAAACCCTGGATGTGTTTTGAGTTTAATAATAAACCATTGCAATTATAATTTAATAATTAAGTTTGTAGAAAACAATTCATGCAGTGTGTATATAAAGTAAAATAAAGGGAATAATTAAAAAAGGAGAGAAAATTGCAGAATAGGAAGAAAATAAGAATAAAGGTGAAAGATCACAGAAGAAATGTTTATATGTAATAGACACAGTACAGATTATTTATTAATAATTCACTCACTATAAATAATATAAAGGGAATAATTCAAAAGGAGAGATAAAATAAGAATAAAGGAGAAAAAGAGGAGAAACATATACATAATAATTAAACAGATAGAGGAAAGATTATGGAGAGGAAAGGGGAAGATATTTTGAAAAGAAGAGATTTAAAGATATGCTGAAAACCCAGCCTGATCTCACGAGAAAACGCAAGTATTTTTACGTTTTGTCTGTTTAGTGGCTAAATCGTACAAATTCCTGAGTTCAGTCGTACGATAATGTACGATTTTAAAAAGGAGGCGTGGCACCTAACCCCACCCCTTAACCCAAACGTTATTGGGGGATGAGCAGGTCGTACTAAATTGTACGAATTAGATTATACGAATTAGCCACTAAATCAAAAAGTTACGAATTGCCGTGAGATTGTGTTGGAAAACCTGTAACCATTGACTTTTATACTTAGAAAAACAAATGCTATGGAAATCAAGTTACAGGTTTCCAACATTCTTCAAAATATCTTAATTTATATTCAACAGAAGAAACTGATTGAAGTAAAAAGTGAGTAAATGATGACAGCTCCAATTTCAGTGTGAACTAACCCTTTAACACAAGTGAAAACAGCCGCTCCTGATGATGATGATCCCGTCTGCTCTGGGAATCTTCCTCTTTTTCTAATAATCTGTATTTGCCGATATTCTTCTGCTCGGTGTGTTTAAGTAAAGGGCCATACTGTGGTGTTGAGGGATCTTTCCAGAGTTACTTTTTGTGAATTTATCATAAGAGAAGACATTTATACTTCTAATATGCTGTATACAAAACAAATATAATAAAACATTTTGCAGACACGGAGTGGAGAGAACGGAGGCTTTATTGACACTCATGAGCTCAAATACATGCTAAAAACTAAATAATCAATCTATCTGAGAACACAGATGAGAGAAGGTGAATACACGACATAAAAAACAGGCCAGTTATAATAATGAATAGCCAGTCATCATCACAGCAGTCCACTTCGAGATCATATTCAGCAGGAAAAGCTGCAGTATTATCATCAGAAGAGTGTTTCCATTGCACAACTTCTGAATCCGCTTTATTGCATTAAAAACACATCGGTGGAGTTTATTAAAGCATCATCTGCATAGGCTACAGCAGATGCAACCAGATAAGGACATCAGCTGTACATTAGGCAAGTCAATGCAATAAATGCATTTGGGGCACAAGAACTGCAGCGCATTAACATGACTTATACTGATCATTTCAGTTACAGTAAATAAAAACAACAACAACACGGTATAAAACTGCTCCTCATATGTACAGTAGATGAGTGATGCTGATGATCTCCCTGCTCCTCATGTAGACGTGCAGTCGCTCAGGCATCACCGCTGCTGCACACACACACACACACACACGCACACACAGACAGACAGACAAAACATTAGTTATGAATACAGTTCAATGGTTCTGTTTCCCCAATGCATCATTTCATAAACAGTACGGCATGCTTGTGTGTATGGAGCGACACCTCTAGAGCGGTTTGCTTGGTGTATATATGCAGGGTTTATACACACTTTTACTATAAAAATTCCAGGACTTTTCCAGCTCTGGGGCCTCATGTATCAACGCTGCGTACGCACAAAAACTTTGCGTACGCCAGGTTTCACGCTCAGAATCGCTCACGTTTGGATTTACTAACGATGAACTGAACGTGGGAATGTGCGCAGCTCCACGCCAGCTTCATGGCTGGTGTACGCACATTTTTTGTGTGTGTCTGTTTTATTTCCATTGGCGACTCCTAGAGGCGGTTGTGTTAAATTGCACACTACAAATGTCTTCTCTGCTGTATGAGACGAGTTCATCCGCATGTCTAGTATATAAGGTTTCCGTACCATACAGTTGACCATCCAAACTTTCTCATGATAAAGAGTATATAGGCGAAATCTGACATGTAGCGGGGAAAATGGAGAGTAAGTTCATCAGCCGCTGGACTCGAACCGAGTTCATGCTTGAACGTGTCAAAACATGTTGCCATGGGTTTACCGAGCTGCGCAACTTAGGATGTTAAAGATAATCCAAAATTTTACACCTATAGATCGCACTATTTCTCTTTTAATCCACTCAGTGCGATGTTCAGACCCAACTGTGTATAAAAAAACTCTCCCACTCAATTTTTCTTTTGTTGTTAATTCCAGAGGACAAACTTGCAAATAACACAGTTTTTCTCCGGTCTACCTCCGAAAGCAGCACCTTCAATTCACATTCTGTTCAAAGTTTCTCTTCTTGTGTGCTTTTGCCGTTGCTTTTTCGTTGGGTTTTCCCAAAGTAGAGTCATTTGCATATCCATACGTGGGCGGAGGAAGGGAGGGGTTTTGTGCTCGTGCATGTTGCACTCAGTTTCACGTTCATTCAGATGTACAAAAGAATATGTGTGAGATTCGGCGTACGCAGTGTTTCATACATCTGAATTATTTTCTGCGTACGCACATTTACAGCTGTGAGTGTACGCAATGTTCTTACATAATTTCCACGCAAGTCTTCATACATGAGGCCTCTGATGTTTGATGTATTGTCTACATATACATGATAAATCATAAGAAACGTTTACATTTATTACAGCATATTATAAAACACGCACACGTTTCAATGCGTTTTTATAACTGTCAAATTACAGTTAATATCTTTTCAGTTTTGATCCGACACTCACTGCATTTTAGCAGGAATGAGAAGCTAAGATACAGAACATTGAGCTGAAGCTTGAACACACAATTAGATCGCAGCTTGAAATGGCAGTATCTGTCTAATAAATACATTAATTAAATTGCAATTAGACGTTTTCCCCAAATCGCACAGGCCTGCCGCTGATGTTAGCAGTGCTGGTGTTCAGGTGTAGATTCTGACCTTCTGCTGTCTGATGATCTCATCTCTGGTCTTGAAGACTGGAGCGTCCTCCACCTCGATGCCCTCCGCCATCTCCATCACCCTCTGCAGCAGCTCTGAGCTGTATCTGCACAAACACAGCGCCACTTACACACTACACACCAGCTTTAGTCAATGCTCAGGTAAAAAAACTGATGAAAAGGCTGACACTGAATGATTACAGCTGTATAATTCTGCTCCATGAAACAGGTAATGCCCAGAATGTGGTTTATTTGCACTGTTCTGAACACATTCACTGGCCATACATTCAGCTGAACAGCCAGCCTACTGCATCCCTGAGCTTTCTACATTAACACTTTAACATTATAGTGCATTAATAAACAATATAATAGCATTTAACAATGCCACATTTCCTTATGTTATTTCATAAGCAGTTCTGAGAGCAGTACTCTTACTCTTGAGTTGATCCTTCTGGAAAAACCTCTGTAACCCGCAATATCTGTGCTTCCTCTGAGGTCAAAGTATTGATCAGTCAGATGCTTTTCACTGCTTTCTGCTACATGTATAACATCATCTGAGCATTGTTTATAAGACATGAATGGTGTTATAATGCCTCTATTCATACAATAACGCATTATATTTGAGGTGAAGTTGGTTTCACATTCACACATTCAGACTTTGGTGTTCAATAAACAGTAAAGCAGTACAGGTTCATTATTATAGTGGTGTACTGTTATGAGCACAACTTGTGACGCTCTCTCTATATTATTCACAGCTGCTTTATTTAATATTAATAATGCATTTTATTTAATGGCGCCTTTCATGACACTCAAGGCCCTGTACAGGACAGCTAAAACAATCAATTCAAATAAAAACAATAGACTACAACACAAGCTTTAAAATGCAGTCGGGTCTGAGAGAGTAGGCTGTTCTGAACAGATGTGTTTGGAGTTTAAATTATGAAAGAGAGTCTAAACTACGGAGATCAGGAGGGAGTGAAAGCTGAGGAGCAGAGCGGCTGAAGGATCTGCTCCCCATGGTGACAAGGCGGACAGAGGAACAGTGAGGTGAATGGAAGAAGAAGACCTGAGTGTTGGAGAAGCTGTGGCCATATGAACAAGACTAGCACGCTATGGAGGAGCGAGACTGTGGACGGCTTTAAAGGTGAGAAGAAGTGTTTCATAAAGAGCCGGGAAGCCAGTGAAGCTGTTGTAGAATGGGTGTGATGGGACAGGCAGAGGGGGTGTTTGTGATCATGCGGGCTGCAGCGTTTTGTACCAGATGTCATTTATGAAGAGTTTTTTTAGGGAGGTCAAACAGAAGGGAATTACAGTAATCTAAACGGGATGTGACTAAACTATGAACAGGAATGGCAGCTGAGTGAGGGGTGAGGGAAGGATGTAAACCATTTATATGTCGAAGGTGGAAATAGGCGGACCGGGTGACATTATTAACATGTGCATTGAATGAAAGGTGACCCCCAGACTCTGAACCTGAGGGGAGGAGGTCATGACAGAATCCTCTGTGGGAATGGGAAAACTGATTTATTTAAAGTGGATGGTGTTCCTATAAGGAGGAGTACAGTTTTAGTGTCATTTAATTTCAGGAAGTTTGTGGTGAGCTTTGTGTATACTGGCTCTGAAAGACTTTAAAACAACATCAGCACTATTGAACTGAATGCAATATTTTTTATTTTGCAAAATGAACACAATTTGACCAGATAAATCTCTATATATGGGAAGATAGAGGTAAAGTTGGTTTAATATTGAGATATTCAGACATCCTCCTTAATAGTATAATGTCAGAAAAGTATTCTTGGCAAATTCTAAATAGGGAAATCATATTATCAGCCAATGACTGTCAATGATAGAGGTGAAGTTGGTTTTATATTGGCACATTCATTCATTTAGCAGCCTCTACATTGCTTACCATGTTAACTTGAATATTGGATCATAATTAGCATGCCAGTATGACTGCTGAACAACATTAACACTGTCTAATTGACTGTGAACAATGCTATACTTTTATAATCATTGGCTGCTAATATGATTCAGCAGCTAATATGAAAAAATTACTAATACTTTCCTTCTTAGACTTTACAGACCTGAAACTTGCCTACAGCACTTCTTCATTGTTGCTCTTATTGTGTAAATTGCTTCCTTGTCCTCATTTGTAAGTCGCTTTGAATAAAAGCGTCTGCTAAATGACTGTAAATGTAAATGTAAATGATTTCCCTATTTAGAATTTGCCAAGAATACTTTTCTGACATTATTATTAAGGAGAATGTCTGAATATCTCAATATAAAACCAACTTTACCTCTATCTATCAAAGTACAGCATTGTTCACAGTCAGTTAGACAGTGTTAATGATGTTTACAAGTCACACTTGCATGCTAATTCCGATCCAATATTCAAAGTAGCATAATAAACAATACAGAGCCTGCTAAATGAGCGAATGTGCGAATATAAAACCACCTTTACCTGTATTGAAAGAGCAGATAGTGTGCAGTCCTGGAGTATACTGCATTAGTACTGCACTGTATTGAAGCTGTTCTGATCGGGTGATTCTGCTGTATGGTGTTGCTCTTTATGCTGTGTTAAAGCTGCTGGTTGTTTTAGCTCTACTAGTGTTGTTGTTGTTGTTGTTGTTGTGATGCTCATACCTGCAGCCCATGAACACGTGGTTCTGCCAGACCATGGAGAGCGCGAGCAGATGATCCACCTGCGGCTCCGGGAAGTCCGCCATGTTCCTGAAGATGAACTCCCGCCTGCCCTTCCAGTGTTTGTCGCTCTCCGAGAACCCGCGGAAAGCCTCAACCCGGTCAGCCAGCTGCCGGTTCTGACCGATAAACTCCTCCACATCCATGGACGCCATTGTTACGAGCGATGACGTCACTCCCCGGTGTTCTTTTTCCGGTCGCGACAGCGCGCTCTCAAAAGCGGTGTTGCTAGAAGCGATACAGCTGCGGTCGGAAGTGAACGAGAATTGTTGATGTTGTAACTGACCTGTATTTAATTAACGTCTACTCTAACTCTAGCAATAATGGAAAAATAGTCATTATACTGAGTATTATTCTTATTATTTATTAAGTTACCCATTCATATTTTGTTCATATTTTAATAACGTCTATTCCCTCACATTAATTTTGAAGAGGATTGTTTATATTAGTTATTAAATTACCAATTAACTGTAACTTATTAACATCTACCCCTTTCCTCACAGTAATGTAAAACTATTAATTATTGTTGATGTAAGTATCCGCAGCTGTATCCCTTCTAGACCTTATTAAAGGCACAGCGCCACCTTTAAACGGTTTACTTTGAACAGAATACATTTAAAAATGCTGTTTACTGTGTCCGATTCAGATACAATAAAAAACTCCCTTTACTTGTTTTAAACTTGTTTGAGTGTCTTTCTTCTGTTAAACACAAAAGAAGATATTTTAAAAAATGTTGGAAACCTGTAACCATTGACTCCACGGTGTTTCTATTTCCAATGTAAGTCAATGGTTACAGGTTTTCTTCGTTTGTGTTCAACAGAAGCAATTCATAAAGGTTTGTAGCCCCTTGAGTGAGAGTAGTGAGTAAATTTATTTCTTTATGTTTTGGTAAAGTAACCTTTTAAATTATTTTTCATTGATTTAGCTTTAAATTAAAAAATTAAATTATTTTATTACAATCTTTGATTTGCAATTTAGCAATTACAATTTAGTATTGTAATTTGACCACACACACATTTTATTTACTTATTTTACAAAGAAACAGCATATAATTAAATTATAAATAAATATATAACTAAATAATTAAATAGATTAAATAATTAAAGGACACTGTTCATCATTAAAAACCTCAAAATGTAACACATAAAAGTCGATGGCAACAATTTTCAATGGTGTTCTGGGAGGACTGTGTGTGTGTGTGTGTGTGTGTGTGGTGTGTGTGTGTACAGCCTCAGACATTTATTTAAGTACATTGTTATCTGTGTTGTGTTAGATTTATTGGACAAACAAAAAGTTTGTTTTTAGTTAGTTTTAAGTTGGACCTAACTGTTGAATCAGGTCTTCTTTGAGTGTTTGCTCAAGTTTTAGACCAGTCTGATGTTTATGAAAATATGCTTATGGATTATTCTTAGTTTTACTTCAGCATAAAGGTCACTGCAGTCGGTTTAAAATCTAAAAATGGGGCGACTTTAGGGATATCTGGTGGGTGATGAGGGAAATAAAATAACATTTTTATGAAAGTATCAGTGACACTATTGACTGTAGTACTCATTAGATCTGTGTGTGTGTGTGTGTGTGTGTGTGTGCGCGTGTGTGTGTGTTTGGTTGACACATTGAGGATGTTATAGGCTCAAACCTTCATTAAGTTATGTTTTATCTGCATTTTTTATTTTTGTTTGACATATTGTTCAAAAATGTCCTCAGGCAAGCTTGAGAATTAAAATTTCTCAGATATTTGAACTAGAAACAAGAGAAAACTCTGAGTAACTCTATAAGAAAATGTTTTTTGTAATGTAGAAACATTCACCATTAAACTTAAGATATGTAGGGAAACCCACAGGGCTCACTTCAAATAAGAGATAGCAAACAGAAAGACCATCAGTTCATCAATCAACACATACCCTGCAAAAACCCATATAGACTGGCAACTCTTTATTTCGCTTTTGGGATTCTAACAGTATTGATTAATCAGAAATAAATAAATGTGTATAAATGCAATAGTTAATGTCAGAATTATTCGCCCCCTAAGATTTTTTTCTTCCTTAAATATTTTTCAAATGATGTTGAACAGATTCAGGAAATGTTCACAGTATGTCTGATAATATTTGTTCTTTTGGAGAAAGTCTGATTTATTTTATTCCAGCGAGAATAAAAGCAGTTTTTAATTTTTTTTTTACATTTTAAGGACAAAATTATTAGCCTCTTTAAGATTTTTTTTGAACCATCGTTCTACAATGACTTGCCTAATTACCCTAACCTGCCCAGTTACCCTATAGCGAAGCCTTTACATGTCACTTTAAGCTGAACACTAGTGTCTAGAAGAATATCTAGTCTAATATTATTTACTGTCATCATGACAGAGAGAAAATAAATCAGCTATAAGAGATGAGTTATTAACATCATTATGATTAGAAATGTGTTGGAGAAATCTGCTCTCCATTTATCAGAAATTGGGGGAAAAAATAAACAAGCGGTCTAATAATTCTGACTTCAACTGTGTATATAAATAAAACTTACTTAAATACAAAATGTGTAAAATGTCCACAAACCCAGAAAAAATTAAGCTGTAAAAATGGCCTTAAACTGGTGTATTTGAAGCATACTACAGTGAAGAGCTCGCATTTCTCAGTCATCAGTCTATAAAAACACAACTATGATCACATGAACAAATGACCCAATACTGTAGTTATCAGCAACTATAATAAACACCACAGGTTACTAGTCAATACTACAGTATGCTGGAGCATTCAATAGCAAAGTTGTAAATAATATAATATACACACTTTACTACAGTATGGTTCATAAACATCAGCGTTTACTATAACGTACTATAGTATTGTATTGACGTATACCTATAGTGTGCTAAATGTTGAAAGTTTACAAACCCAGGAAAACATATTAATCTGTAAAAGCAGAAGTCTAAAACATCCCAAATATCAAAAATAGCACACTACAGTAAAGCACTTGAGTTGATCTGCTGTAGTGGTTAACACAACTATAGTAAACACTGTAGTTTACTACAACTATAGGGTGGAGAATAGAAGGGATACAGCTGCAGATACACACATCAATATAGAATCTTCTCTGTGACACTGTACAATATTTCATAATTTTACATGACTGTGAGGATTGGGGTAGACTTTAAAAGTTACATTAACTGGGCAGTTTAATAATTTAATTCTCCTGATCTTTCAGCGATATCTGAATCTCATCTAGCAACAACCCAACTATAAACTACAATACACCAGTTTACTGCAGTAATCAGGTAACTAATACAGTATGCTGGAACATTCATTTAACAAAGGGTTGTAAATAATATTTAAACCATCCCTAATGTAAAAATAGACCAGTGTTTCATAGTTTAAAAACTATATTTTTGAACAGCTAAAGTGTTTGAACTAAACACTGTGATGATTCCTATCTAGTTGCTATGATAACTATAGTATTATAAACAAATGACCTAATACAGTAGTTTTCTCAGCAGCTGTAGTGTGGGTAAGGTGTAGTAAAACTATACAGTATACAGTAGTCTATCAGTTCACTATGCTACAGTATGCAGGAGCGTTCATTAACAGAGCTGTAATACTATAATATACACACTTTACTACAGTATGGTTCTAAAACACTGTAGATGGCCATATCTGGAGACGCTGATGGTGTGTGTGTGTGTGTGTGTGTGAGAGATCCGGAACAGCGCTGACAGTGAGGATGTTTGTTGTGTTTCCTCCTCTCGGCTGTTTGTTCATGGCTCCCCCCATCGGATTCACAGTAAAATGGTCGATTATTTTCGCGAACCGCCCCGCGCGCTCGCTTGAGGAGACTTTCTTCTTCACGCTCGCGTCTTGATGGACATTTTCAAACTTGACAGGTAAACGCAACGCGCTTTTTCGCCCGTTTCCCCCCGCTCGCCGTGCGTGACGCTCGCTCGCAACGCTCGGCTCCTGCGCCCGCTGCTAACGGAAATTTTTTGGTACGTCATTAATATGGCGCCAAAAGAGTTGTAAGTGTGAGCTGGTGTTTCGCGCAGGAATACACGCAGAATGTGAAGAGGAGCGCGCTTGTGTGTCGACAGCTTCACTTCGCAGGATGTGAGGACACCAGAAACAGTTTTGCGGATGACGAAGCGTGCTGTGCTGTTTTCTGAAGCGGCAGTTTTAGGACGGCTGTAATATGCCGTCGGCTCGGGCATCTCAGCCGCACACAGTAACTTTTATCGGGGCCGAGGAGGGTGCGTGGCCTCGGATGATCCTCTGATCTCTGCGAGGACACCATCATCATCTTCATCATCACCATCACACCCTCTCTCCGCAGAAGAGGTAAAGCCGAAAAAATGTGCCTTTTCTGCAGTTTTTGACCGTTGTTTCATGCTCATGTCGGTCGTTTGCTGCCTGAATTCTGTCTGCTTGTACGGGCTCGTTCGCGGTTTATTTGTTTGCTGAACTCTTCAGTCTGTGTGGAGTACTGCTGCTGCTGCTGCTCAACTTCTCAGCTTGGAGTGAGCGAGTGGCCTAAACGCGCTTCACAAACAAGCCCTGCAGGTCAGCGACCACGCCCCCTTCAGCTGCACACGGCGGCTTGACGTCACACACACGGGGCGTGGTCTAGAAAACGTGTAGTATTTTTTACATTATTATTATTATTATTATTATTATTTTTATTATTATTATTTTGTCTTTAAATGTTTGTGAGCCACACTGAAAACAAAACTAACCATAATTATTTTGTTAGCTCACATTGCTAGTCTTTGGGTGAACAATTCATCTGCATGTCATTAAGAAAAACATGTAATCTAAAATTGAAATATGCAAATGCACTACCTGTTTGTTTTCAGTTAAATTCTAAGATTAGGTCTGTTTGAGGTATCGGGCGGGGCTTGCATACTTAACCACGCCCCCAGCGGTCAGTTTTGGCAACGGAAATGGTGAGGAGGAGGAGTCTGTTAGGTTGTAATAACTCTCCCCAAATCCTTTACTACAGCCAATCAGGTCGCAGTATAAAAATCAAGCCACGCCCACTATTTTCTCATTTAATATTCAGTTTGTCTAGGAATTGCTTCACAATGCGAAAAATGATTGCAGCTTCTGGTTTATGAGAACTTTAAAAGTCCTGTGAATTGTTTTGAAATGTGCATTTTTTATTCAATGAAAGTAAATGAGAAGAGTCTTCAGGAATGTGCACAGGTGGGGCTCTGTGTGCTTGAGCACCTGATCTTTTTTCTCAAGGAGGAAAAAATGCCCCTCAAAATGAATGAATGAGTGTGTTTGTGTGTGTGCGTGAGTGTGTGTGTGTGTGAGTCTGTGAGTGTGTGTCTGTCCGTCATCATAATGCTTCACTATTATTCTACTATTATTATTCCCTCCAGAACTGTCTTGAGCATCTGTCTGCTGCAGGTTTGCTTTAAATGAGCAGCCAGCAACAGCAAAGCAGACACATTTCAAAATAAGAGTGCTTGTGTATTTTAGACTATTATTTTACACATATAAATCTAGTGGCGATGCAGTGGCGCAGTAGGTAATGCTGTTGCCTCACAACAAGAAGGATGTGGGTTCGAGCCCCGACTGGGTCAGTTGGTGTTTCTGTGTGGAGTTTGCATGTTCTCCATGTGTTATCATGGGTTTCCTCTGGGTGCTTCGGTTTCCCCCACAGTCCAAACACATGCAGCAGACAGTGTGTCTGGGTGTTTCACAGAGATGGGTTGCAGCTGTAAGTGAATCCGCTGTGTAAAACATGTGCTGGATAAGTTGGCGGTTCATTCCGCTGTGGCGACCCCTGATGAATAAAGGGACTAATCTGAAAAGAAAATGAATGAATGAATATAAATCTAGTGCACACATCAATCTGTCAAAATTGGGTGAACTATTTCCTGCTGTCACACTGTTTCCAGTAAAGCTATCAACACACACACACACACACACACGTTCATGAGTGTGATCCTCTTGTCCTGACAGATGGAGAGTGAGATGAAGAGGAGGAAATACTCCACCAGCAGCAACGACTCTGACACCACTGACAGTGAGTAATGCTGACACACACACACACACACACACACACACACACACACACACACAGACACACACGCTCAAACATAAGCACAAAAAAACACAAGCACCTACACGCACACACACAGATACACACAGACAAGCACACACACACACACACACACACACACACACATACACAAACACACACACGCACTGATCACACAAGAGACACAAGAGACACACGGACAAGCAGACACAGATACACACTGACAAACACACACACACACACACGCACACATTGATCACACACAAGGACAAGCACACGCACACACACTCCTCTAAAGCGAGAATGGTACCTGTGTGTTTCTGCAGGTCAGGTGACCACCTGGTCCCGCTCCTCTAAGAACACTGGCACCAGCAGCACGTGGGTCCGTCATGAGCAGAAGAGGCCGTCTGAGGTGAGAACCGGCCAATCAGATCGCCAGAAAGACAGCAGCAGTTCTTAAATTAATGGACATGAAGCGTTTAACGCTCATCAGCATCTTCAGTTCCTGAAAGTGTTTAATATTTAGAGTATAAAACACATATGAAGCGGTGGCGCAGTAGGCAGTGCTGTTGCCTCACAGCAAAAAGGTCTCTGGTTTGAGCCTCGGATGGGTCAGTTGGTGTTTCTGTGTGGAGTTTGCATGTTCTCCCCGTGTTGGCGTGGATTTCCTCCGGGTGCTCCGGTTTCCCAAACACATGCGCTATAGGGGAATTGGGTGAGCTAAATTGTCTATAGTGTAGGTGTGTGAATGAGTGTGTGTGGATGTTTTCCAGAGATGGGTTGCAGCTGGAAGGGCATCCACTGTGCAAAACATATGCTGGATAAGTTGGCAGTTCATTCCGCTGTGGAATGAGGGAGAGCATGCAAACTCCACACAGAAACGCCAACTGACCCAGCCGAGGCTCAAACCAGCGACCTTCTTGCTGTGAGGCGACAGCACTACCTACTGCGCCACCGTATCGCCTACTTCAGAAATCATTCAGTGGAAACAAGATAGATGTGCTTGAGTTGTGTTCTTCTTTCAGGTGTTTCGGACAGACTTTATCACAGCCATGAAGTTGCCGGATTCAGCACAGCTGAGCGCAGACGAGTTCTACATTCTGTGCGACCCCTGGAGGCAGGAGTGGGAGAAGGGCGTTCAGGTGCCAGCCAACGTGGAGACCATTCCTGAGCCTGTGGTCCGGTGAGATCCTAAACAGCCAATCACATGCCAGCACACGGCACACCATCACATGTCAGCCTACAGCAACCAATCACACTCCGGCTCACAGCAGCCAATCACACTCCGGCTCACAGCAACCAATCACACTCCAGCTCACATCAACCAATCACACTCCAGCTCACATCAACCAATCACACTCCGGCTCACAGCAGCCAATTACACTCCAGCTCACAGCAACCAATCACACTCTGGCTCACAGCAACCAATCACACTCCGGCTCACAACAACCAATCACACTCCAGCTCACAGCATCCAATCACACAGCATCCAATCACATGCCGGCTCACAGCAACCAATCACACAGCATCCAATCACATGCCGGCTCACAGCAGCCAATCACACAGCAGCCATTCACATGCCGGCTTACAGCAACCAATCACACACTGGCTCACACCAGCCAATCACACGCCGGCTCAGAGCAGCCATTTAAACAGCAGCCAATCACACTGCATGTAGTGTTTGTTAGGTCAGTGTTTGGTGTTTGTCGTCCCCCAGAATGCTCCCGGAGGTCAGCCGAATCCCGTTCTTCTCTGCGGTGCAAACGCGGAGCCAGTCGGAGATCTCTGAGCCTCTGAGCCGATACGATCTGGATGATCTGGATGTGGCCTGGCTGGAGCTGGTCAATGCAGAATTCAGACAACTAGGTGAGATTTGCCAAACATCTTTATATGGGGCACCTATCAGTCACAAATCGCTTTTCTGTGGGGTTTAAACCCAGTAGTGTGTGTGTGTGTGTGTGTGTGTGAGCAGTGTGTGAGTATCTCCAGCAGCCTCTAATGGTCAACATGAATGTTCTAATCAGACTTGATGCAGAAACACTGTGATTGACATTCTCCTGCTGTACGTGTCATCAGAGGGGGAAAGCCCCGCCCACTAGTGCCCATCTCGCCCTCATTAGCATAGGACATTAGTCTTGTTTTTGAATCTGCCACTATGCTGATGCACATGCACCTGTAGCTCCGCCCTCTTCTGAAAAGAGCAAAATCTCTTTTGCATTTAAAGCGACAGTCACCAAAACACCACAATTAGGATCAAAGCCTGAAAGGGTCAGTTTCAGAGAGCTGGAGAACATTATCTGTGTGCCCACACACACTACACACAGCAGAGAGCATTTTATTCTGGTGAAATAGGTCTCCTTTAACCAGTTTAGTTTGTAGCTGTAAACATGCCAGAGAACAGGATTGGAATAATAATGCATGTCAAACATTCAGTCTTGGCATGTTAGTGGTTGTTTGGCTGGGTAATAAAATGGGAGATTACTGTAGTCAACGCCTGAGAACACATTCTCGGCATGTTAGCTGAAATGTTATTGTTGATTAAGAATTTCAACATCGTTTAATGACAGATGAGCTTCATCAAACATATAAAACATGGCTTTTTGGAGAAAAATTCAATATTTTGCATCACTTCTATAATTTTGGCTCAGTGTTATTGTTCAGATTTTATATTTTAACACAAGTTTGACTTGCATAAAAGGGGCAGTTTGTGAAATGTATGTGTATAATTGATGTTTTTGTAGTTAATATGCTTTAAAAACACCATTTTGAAAAGGAAATATGCTTAGTCTGATATAGAAGGAGTCACTTCAGCGATTCTTTAACAGTTTTTGTAAATATTTTTTATTAGTTGTACCTTAATTAGCATCAAAAATGAAGAATAACGACTCAATAGTGTGGTAAAGGTGTTTAAGAATTCAATTGAAATGAGTAATTATATTTAGATTTCTTCATCATTCATTCATTTTCTTGTTGGCTTAGTCCCTTTATTAATCCAGAGTCGCCACAGCGGAATGAACCGCCAACTTATCCAGCAAGTTTTTACGCAGCGCATGCTCTTCCAGCCGCAACCCATCACTGGGAAAATTTAGGTTTCTTATCTGATAAAAATGTTAGGAATATTGATGGTTTTAAAAATGTGTGGAGTTATAAAGAAATGCAGATACAGATGTCTTGAGTCAAATGTATATTTATTAATTGTTTTTTTAATGGAGAAAGCTAAAGTAGAATTTTAAATCCCTCTCTCTCACCCCCCCCCCTCTCTCTCACGATTCTGCAAAGCCGTCACGGGTTTGTCTTCCTCTTGTATCTGTTAAATGAATTGCAGCAATCGCTGTTGTCTAAAATAGCACAATTAAACTGAACAAAAACAAACAAACAATTAAATAAATAAATAAACAAACAAACAATTGAACAAATATTTTTTTTGTTTCATAGAAAATAAAACAGTTATACATAAATAAATAATTGAATAAATAATAAAATCAATAAATAAGTAATGAATTTAATTAATGAATAAATATTTAAATTAATAAACAAATAAATAATTTTAGTTTTTCTATAATATATTTAACTGTTTTAATAAATAAATAACCACACAGATGAGTAATTTATTTATTAATTTAATCAATAAGTAAATTTAATAAAACAATAAAAAATTTATTTAATAAATTGCAAAAAATAAATATATGAATTAATGAATAATTATATAAATAAAAATAAATACATAAATTAGTTATGTATTTATTAAATTAAGTAAATAAATGAGTAAATAATTAAATAATTAATTAATTTAACAAATTAATAAATTATTCAATAAATAAACAAACATAAATAATTGTTAAAAATAAAATAAATAAATAAATAAATAATGGCGATGCAGTGGCGCAGTGGGTAGCACATTTACCTCACAGCAAGAAGGTCTCTGGTTTGATCCTCGGCTGGGTCATTTGGTGTTTCTGTGTGGAGTTTGCATGTTCTCCCCGTGTTGGTGTGGGTTTCCTCCGGGTGCTCCGGTTTCCCCCACAGTCCAAACACATGCGCTATAGGGGAATTGGGTAAGCTAAAATTATCCGCAGTTTATGTGTGTGAATGTGTGTATGGTTGCTTCCCAGTGATGGGTTGCAGACAGAAAAGCAACCGCTGCATAAAAACATAAGCCTGATAAGTTGGTGGTTCATTCCGCTGTGATGACCCCAGATTAATAAAGGGACTAAGCAGAAAATATTTGAAAGAATGAAACAACAAATAAGTAATGAATTTAATAAATAAATAAATATTTAAATAAATAAACAAATAAATGATTTAACAGTTTTTTTCTATAATGTATTTTACTGTTTTAATAAATAAATAAATAACCAAACAAATGAGTAATTTATTTATTTAATCAATAAATAATTTAAATAAAACAATAAATAATTTAATAAATAATAAAACAAATAAATATATAAATTAATGAATAATTATATATATATATATATAAAATACATAAATTAGTTATCTATTTATTTAATTAATAAATAAATAAATGAATAAATTGATAAATAATTTAATAATTAATTAATCAAATAAATAAATAAACAAACACAAATAAAATAAAAAAAGTTAATTAATTAAATATTATTAAAATAAGTACATCACCACAATTAGCCGTGTATAAATTATCTGTTCAGAGCTAGCAGTGCTGATCAGTGTGTGTGTGCGCGTGTGTGTGTGTGTGTGTGTGTCCTCAGCTCTGCCGGAGCTGGACGAGCTGACCATGGAGCAGCTGCTGGTGGAGCTGGAGCGCCGCTGTCAGCAGAACATGCAGCAGCAGATCGAGAACCAGGAGGGTTTGGGCATCGAGTACGACGAGGACGTGGTGTGTGATGTGTGCCGATCGCCTGAAGGAGAGGACGGCAACGAGATGGTGTTCTGCGACAACTGCAACGTCTGCGTGCACCAGGTACAATTGTGTGTGTGTATGTGTGTGTGTAGGAGAAGGCAGGAGAGGGAGTATTGTCCTACATTTAGTTTGTTTTGCTGATGGTCACACTTGAAATCCGTGTCCTGCTGGAAAACATCTCTGATTATGCCTCCGTTTGTTGGGCAATATGAGCATTATTAGGTGGATCATTGTGTTGGAGTTATTATTTGGAGGAGAATTGGCCTGGGTTACACAGTCAGGGGGGATTTCAGGGAAGGATGCTCACACTGGCAGAGGTGTTGCTTTGGGTGTTAAAAGCATAACTCCTGCTACAGCTCAGGGTTACTGTTCTTCATTTCCAATAGAGAAGGAAGAACTTTTCTCCTACAAAAGTTATAATCTACAGTAGTTTTGTCTCTCCCTTGACCAAAGCTCAAATGCTGAAAAATTCAATCAGCAGACTACCACACTGTAAATGCACACACACCTCAGCCAGCCCTGATTTATAGCAGCTCTTCTGCTGTGGAATCTGTGTGGGTTTGCAGTAGAAACTAATGTATATGATCATTTACATCCTTTCAATTAATCCTTTAATCGTGTGTTGTGTTCTGCTCCGGCAGGCGTGTTACGGGATCCTGAAGGTGCCGCAGGGGAACTGGCTGTGCCGGACGTGTGCGCTCGGAGTTCAGTCCAAATGTCTGCTGTGTCCCCGCAGAGGAGGAGCTCTGAAACCCACACGCAGCGGGACCAAGTGGGTTCACGTCAGCTGTGCCTTATGGATCCCTGAGGTACCAGTGCACGGCATTCTGGGAGCAGTAGTTATCAGGAGCGTTTACTTTTATACATGTGCTCTGAAGCTTCAGCCTGGGAGTCATGTCATAAGGAGACAGCGGTGAAAATCACAGACTAATATATATATGTATACACACCTTCCTTCCTACTGCCGCACGCCGTACAAGTTTAGTGTTAGCTGCACTGAAAGGAGGAAGAAAGAAATTCGGTAAAATAGGTCAGAGTCACAGACATTGTTGACAAGAAGCGTCACTGGACTTCATGAGCTACGTAGTTTTTCGCTATCCAACACAAAACAGAGCAACATGCGCCGCAAACTGCACAGACGACTCGTGTCATCAAAAGCAGGCAACACTACGACCTGTTTCACCATGTAAAACAAGACCACCCTTATGAAGATGTTCAGAAATTACAGACATAAACAAGTGTTGGCAAACCAGCGCAGAAGCTCCATGGAGAGGCTCCCCGGCTGGCTCCCCGCATGTTTACGTTGTGATGCGCATTTTGTACATTGAGAGTCTGCATAGACCTATTCGTGCCAGTCTGTCAGATAAATTTGGTTAAAACACGCGCGGATATATCGGAGATATGCACATAACAAGGGTTTATGCGACCCGCAATATGGGATGTCAAGAGGGTGACAGCATAAGGTAAACTGCACACACTTGATGATGTAATGCGTGGATGCGTCTCAGCGCAAAGCATAACTAAACCTTTACATGTCCACGCTGAATCAGTCATCGATAAGGTCTATCAATTAAAGCGTTATCGGCAATCAATAGATCAAGTAATCATTAGCATCCCTAAATAAAATACATTAAAGTATATTTCACCCTAAATTCACCATACTCACCATTAAAAGGAGAGTTCATCCAAAACTGAATACTCTGTGACTATTAACTCACCTTGCTCCAAATCGGGTTTATTTTTTTTTCTGATGTTGAACAATAATATCCAATAGCTTGTAGGTAATGTCTTTGGCTGTTGAAAACTTGAACAAGTAAATGCTGAATTACGGTTGTTCTTTTGTTTATTATTTATATTGTCAGACAGCTAAAACATTTCACTAAATGTGTTAAATCAGCTGCACAAAGCCATTGGCATGCTGAAAATCTAATATAATTGATAGATATAAAGATTTTACATTTATTGTGTTAAATATCGATATCGACGGATATGAAAAAAATTATCGTGGTAATTTTTTTTGCCATATCGCCCAGCTCTATTACTATCAATTATTGATATTCCTATTAATACCTTGACGTCACATATCCCTAGTGTCTCCCACATACCGTTTTTCTTTTGACATAGGATATTGTTTAATGACAGATGAGCTATATTGTTATGACAGATATATATGACAGATATATATGACAGATATATATTGTTTACCCCATTGTCAGATTATTCTGCTTGTTTTAAGGAGAAACTCACTTCATTTTGACTCATTATTTCTGAAATCAAGACGATATTTAGCTTGCCTAGAAAATGCTTTGCGATTTTAAGAATTTGCAGATATTTGGACTAGAAACAAACAAAAAGAAAAGATTTACTTTTCTTGTAAAGCATTTTCTGACTTGTGTTGTTTACTTGTTGATAAAGGTGAGCATCGGCTGCCCAGAGAAGATGGAGCCGATCACCAAAGTCTCCCACATCCCCGCCAGCCGATGGGCCCTGTCCTGCAGCCTGTGCTGTGAACACTCCGGCACCTGCATACAGGTGAGAGACCGCGTGACAATACAGAAAATGCAAAATGAAGCGTCGCATTTAGCAGAGTAGAGCAATTGTTAATAAGGCTCTGCAAAGACTGCGGAAACTCAACTCTTTTAATGTAGAGCCAGTTATTCTGAAGACCTTTTACAATTCATTTATTGCAAGTATTCTGTCCTTTGCCTTTATTTGTTGGTTTTCTTCACTGTCCATAAAAGACAAGAATCGTCTTCAAGGCATCGTTAATTTGTGTTCAGAGATTTTGGGAGTTCCCCTGCGAAGTCTTGCATGCTATTACGAACAGCAGGTGTTGAGGATGGCACATAAAATACTAGGAGACAGAACACATCCCTTAAATAAACATGTTGAGTGGATGCACCTTGGTCGACGTCTAAGGACAATAAGATCTTCCACACATCGTTATGAATTTACTTTTGTGCCTGAAGCAATTAGGTCATGTAATAAATGTAGTTGATCGAAGGACTATTATTTGTTTTTTGTATTTACTGTGGGGCGACGCAGTGGCGCAGTGGGGGTCGCTGGGTCGCTGGTTTGATCCTCGGCTCAGTTGGTGTTTCTGTGTGGAGTTTGCATGTTCTCCCTGCACTTGCGTGGGTTTCCTCCGGGTGCTCCGGTTTCCCCCCACAGTCCAAACACATGCGGTACAGGTGAATTGGGTAGGCTAAATTGTCTGTAGTGTATGAGTGTGTGTGTGGATGTTTCCCAGAGATGAGTTGCGGCTGGAAGGGCATCCGCTGCATAAAACAAACTTGCTGGATAAGTTGGCGGTTCATTCCGCAGTGGTGACCCGGGATTAATAAAGGCACCAAGCCGATAAGAAAATGAATGAATGGATGTATTTGCTGTTAAGTGTTGATGTTTATTGTGTTAAGTGTGTCATTCTTGTTATGCTATATGTGAAACACCATCATGTCCAAATGAATTGCCCCAAGCGGATTAATAAAGTTTTTAAACTAAAACTAAGCTCTGTTATAATATAGGTTATATTTTACAGTGATACAAGCAATCAGGCAGCTGAGATTGGCTTTATGGGATATACAGTTGAAGTCAGAATTTTTCACTCTCCTGCTAATTTTTTTCTTTCTCCAATATTTCCCAAATGTTGTTGAACAGATTCAGGAAATGTTCTCAGTGTTTCCTCTAATGTTTGTTCTTCTGGAGAAAGTCTGATTTGTTTTATTTGGGCTAGAGTAAAAGCAGTTTTTAATAGTTTTAAAGCCATGTTAAGCTCAATATTATTGGCCCCTTCAGCAATATTAGTGTTGGATTGTCTCCAGAACAAACCACTGTTATACAATGACTTGCCTAATTACCCTAACTTTACCCTAATTACCCTAGTGAAGCCTTTACATGTCACTTTAAGCTGAACACTAGTGTCTTGAAGAATATCTAGTCTAATATTATGTCAGGGTTTAACGCTAAGGATTTTTTCTACTGACCAGTGGATCAGATTTTTCTTTGCCCTGCCAATACTTTCACTAGTCTTCCAAAGAAAAGTTAATAGATATTTCTTGGCCACAAATTAAAAGAAAAAAGTCAAAATGTTTGTAAGTTTTGAATTTAAATATTTGTAAAAAGTTAATAAATGTATAATGAGCAGAATTCAAAGTGTTTTGCAAACAAACGTAGCAAAATGTGCAGGTATTTTTTTGCAAACAAAAGATGGCTGACCTGCCAAACCGCCGGCAAACTTTACAAAACATCTTAATTTTTTTTGTCGTGGCGTACCCTCGCAAATGTCTGCTTCCAAGACGTTAGAAACAATTGTTTTCCTTTTGCATCACCCCTTGATGTTGCCGCCATGCTGCTGTCTCTTCGCTGTACGGGTTGTTACGGATGAAAATAACATGCTCAACATCCGATCAGATAAGAGGAAGCGAGAAGGTAGCATTTGAAGGCTTCAAAACACAAACTGTTTTTCGATTCTGACTGTATCTGCAAGCAATTGACAAATGGTCACAGGCAAATTAAACTTTAGTGACAGGGCAGCAGTGGCTCGATCGGGCTAGTAATGATCTACTGTCCCGAGCATCTCACACACAGGCCTCGGGCCATCTTAATGTTGTCCTTAATGTTGAGCCTGTTGTGCTGTCATCATGGCAAAGAGAACAGAAATCAGTTCAGGGATAAATATACAAGGGGTTGACACTTCAGGGGGGGCTAATAATTTTGATTTCAGCTGTATAATTGTCAGTCATCAATATATAATCATCAATATAAAAAATGTCAATATCGGCCCATGCCTAAATGAAATGCAGTCTCTAATCGGGTGTTCTTCCACACAGTGCTCCATGCCGTCCTGCACCGTGGCCTTCCACGTGACCTGTGCGTTTGACCACGGTCTGGAGATGCGCACCACACTGGCGGACAATGATGAAGTCCGCTTTAAATCCTACTGTCTGGAGCACAGCAGCGTCTGGCGCTCAAACAGCAGCGGCGGCGTACAGTCAGACAGACCTGACCCGCGGCACGCCGTCCCGGATCCGGCAGCGGCGCAGAAGCAGGAGCAGGCGGAGCGGGAGAAAGCCAGCCAGCGCAAGCAGAAGCTGCAGGAGCTGGAGGATGAGTTCTACACACTGGTGGATCCCAAAGACATCGCAGAGAGCCTGTCCCTGCCCGACGCTCACGTGGACTTCCTCTTCCAGTACTGGAAACTGAGGCGGAAAACCAACGGCAACAAGCCGCTGGTGTCCATGAAGAGGGACGAGGTGGACAATCTGGCGCAGCAGGAGCAGGACGTGCTGTACCGCCGACTGAAGCTCTTCACTCATCTGCGCCAGGACCTGGAGAGGGTGAGCGAAGACCTGTCACACCAAACACTAGATATTTCAGTCCCGCTCTGAATATACATGAGTTCTCCTGCTCCAAGTGTTATAATTTGGTTATTGTGATACCTCAGTTCAGTTAGCCAAAACTGTATATTTAATCATTTATAAACCCTCAAGTGCACCGCAAAAAATGATTGTGGCAATCAGTTATGACAACTTAATATTTTGGGGCGACACGGTGACGTTCGAAGGTTGCTGGTTTGAGCCTCGGCTGGGTCAGTTGGTGTTTCTGTGTGGAGTTTGCATGTTCTCCCTGTGTTCATGTGGGTTTCCTCCGGGTGCTCCGGTTTCCCCCACAGTCCAAGCACATGCGGTTCAGGTGAATTGGGTAGGCTAAATTGTCCGTAGTGTATGTTTGTAATTGAGTGTGTGTGGATGTTTCCCAGTGATGGGTTGCAGCTAGAAGGGCATCCACTGCGTAAAACAAATGCTGGATAAGTTGGCGGTTCATTCCACTGTGGTGACCCCAGATTAATGAAGGGACTAAGCTGAAAAGAAAATGAATGAATGAATGAACTTAAGTCAACTTAACTTAAGTCAAGTCAAGTTTTGTGGATTGAAAGTGTTGACACAACTTATATATCAAAGATTTACTTGGCCAAACTTATTCAACTTATAAAAAGAGTCAGCTGAACTCATGCATATCAGTTAACATAACTACTTTAAATAGTGCAAATATGTGCAAATGGGAATCAATATTTTTATATAAATAAATCTGTTTTAAAATTGTGTTTTTATGTGTAATTATATATAATTTAGATTTTTTAAATAAATAAATTTATTTATTTATTTTATTTATTGTAATACTTTTATTCAAATATACAGTATATTTACACATTTTTAGATAATACCAGATGATGAACGTCTTTCTGCAGATGGATTTTGCTAATAAAAAATGGCATAAGCGGGTTGGCAAAATTTGGGCAGGTTTGGATGTTTTGAACTTGTATTTGATTTGAAAAATGTATAAAACCCAAGTGTGTGTACCGACTCGTTTTTTAATGTTTTTGTTTTTTTGGGGGGTTAATGTTTTTGTTTAATGTTTTGTGTGGATTTTTGCGGGGGTTTTGGACAGTTTGTGCTGGAAACACTGAGGTGCCCAGAGTGATACAGTCGGTATGAACAAAACAATCTTGTTTTTATCATGACATAAGATTATTTTGCTTTCTCTATTGGCTGATTACGAAAACTCACTTAATTTTGACATTTCTGATAGTAGTTTAGTAGTTGAGATTGAGGTAGATGATGATATTGTGATAGAGTTAGTAGCTGAGATTTAGTTAGTAGTCATTATTGAACAGTTGAGGAAAGGCTACAGTCAGAGGTAATGTCAGCTTTAGCACTGTGAGTTTACACCGGTGTCCTGTGTCACATTATAGAAGCATTCTAACTCCCAATGTCAGTGTGACTTAAACATAAGTGGTGTTTTTTGTTTGTTTTCAGGTCAGAAATCTGTGCTGCATGATCACACGCAGAGAGAAGATCAAGCACTCTTTATGTAACCTGCAGGAGAAGATCTTTTCATTGCAGATTCAGCTCATGGAGCAGAACCTGGTCGGAGGTATGATAACCCTGCACAACTCTCTCATGAAGGTTCTTTTAAGATTTTGGTCAGTGCCAATGTTAAACTGATGCAACCACATCTATGGTGGAAGTGCACCAACATCTGAAGTATATATGTTTACTCTTTAAAGCACATGTATGGCACTACAGATCTACAAATACAGTTCAAATACAGTTATTGATTTATATTTTAAGCAAATGGTCATGGTGCACACACTGAAATATGACTGTGAGGTGTATAAAATGCCACTAAACCTATCCCAAATGTTAAACCAACCCATACTGCTAGACCTTTCCTTAACCAACCCATAAATCTACCCATATCTACCAACAAACCTGTCCTTAACCATAAGTCCACCTCAGAAAACTTATGCAGCTGGAATGGGCGTGGTCAGCTGGAGAGTGGGCGTGGCTTGACAAACAGGAGAGAGAATGAGGAGGAGGAGCAACATTCGTCTATCAGTGTCTCATACTGATTTATTCTGTTCATATACACACTATTAATATCAGCGCTGCATGATACTGGAAAAGGGCAGCACGGTGGCGCAGTGGGTAGCACAATCGGCTCAGAAGGTTGCTGCTTCAAGCCCGGCTGGGTCAGTTGGTGTTTCTGTGTGGAGTTTGCATGTTCTCCCCGTGTTGGTGTGGGTTTCCTCTGGGTGCTCCAGTTTCCCCCACAGTCCAAACACATGCGCTATAGGGGAATTGATCAACTAAATTGGCCGTAGTGTATGAGTGTGTGTGTGTGAATGGGTGTGTATGGGTGTTTCCCAGTACTGGGTTGTGGCTGGAAGGGCATCTGCTGCGTAAAACATAGGCTGGAATAGTTGGCGGTTCAATCTGCTAATAAGGGATTGAATCAGGGATTAAGCCGAAGGAGAATTCGTGCAATCTCAAAATATTTATTTCCTGATCTTTAAACCCACATCTGTGTTTAACCTTAACCAATCCAAAGAATAACTGCTTTATTATTAATCTTACCCAACCCTTAAACCTACCCATACACCTAAACCTGTCCCTAACCTTAACCAATCCATAAATCTGCCTATAACCTCATCAAACCTTCCTGTACCGCTGATTCTGTATGATGTAAACACATTGATATTCAATATGGACCCTTTTCACAAGCCTGTTATGACGTATTTAACGGTCATCAGCAGCTTAAATCCCTGATATTTTTTAATATTTAGATGTTAGATCTGTGTTTATGTTTGTATCATATCATCATTCCTTCATTCATTTTCTTGTGGGCTTAGTCCCTTTATTAACCCGGGGTCGCCACAGAGGAATGAACCGCCAACTTATCCAGCAAGTTTTTATACATCTTTGCTTCAAATTACAGAAAAAACAAATTACTGCTTGTGCGAGGCGTTTCCAAGGCCGCATTTACACTGCACTGTTCAAGTGACTCAATTCTGATTTTGTTCTCCAGTCATGTGGCACAGATGGGATACGGCTCATGTACGTGTAAGCAGGAACAAATCACATGCAGGGCCGGAGTGGGACTCAATTTCAGCCCTGGAGTTTCAAGACAGACCGGCCCACCTCAGTTCACGACTGATTCCAATTCAGTTTCTAATGGCACTATCACGTCTTTTTCAAGAAAACAGCTGCTTTAGAAATGTTCAACAGCCCTAACAGTATTTATTATATGTCTTAACAATAAAAATGAAAAAAAAAAAAAAATTATTATAAATTATCAGGTGAGATTTGAACACGGGTCCGTGGCGTTGTTATGCAATATGCTTACCACTGGCCCACAATGGCGCTAATAACAAGGATTAAAAAATAAGTGATGACTTATGACCCTTAAGACACAGCAGAACTTTATATTGATGGCTTAATCTGTTTTTCCCCTTTTTAGACTTCTGATCAAGTTATGTCAGAATTATTATTGTAGTAAATCATCTCGTTTTCATTGAGCAGGTGTATTATTCATTAATATTAATTATTCGAATTCTTATATTCACTAAGGTGCCGCTGTTTGGGGTCGATAGTTACATCATCATTAACGTCAGTTAACCTGCAGGCTGCATTTTGCTCACGGGACTGCAAGAAAATAAATAAAAATAGCGGAGCTGCTGCAAAATAATGAATAAAAAGACTGAAGCTATGGTCAAATGAATAAATAAATGAAAAAGTGTAACTGCTGAGAGTGCAAGCAGCTAGGAACACCGGCCATCGTGGCCCAAAAACAGACCAGCCCACCGGGAATTCTCCCGGTCCTCCCGATTAGCCAATCCGGGCCGGATCACATGGATTCCGATTTACTGAAATCAGATTCAGGCCTTGTTCATATGTGGAAATTAATCCGATATAAATCAGATCTGTGTTCTCGTGTCTGCAGTGTAAGCAGGTAGATCGGATTTTCACCTGTTAATGCGAGTCACACGTCGGTAAAAACCGCAGCGAATGACGTCAAGTCTGACACTTTCTTTTCAGAACAGACTTCAGCAGAGTCCCAAACCTTAAATCTCATACACAAGGACTTAAACAGCTTTATATTGTCATATAGCACAGGTATAAGCATGTTAACGAGAGCGAGACAGCGTAATGTCCGCCACGTAACCAGTATCAACTAACATAAAACTAGTGCATACGTCACATGCATAAATCACGCCATGGACATTACATTAAGAAGCCTGAAGGTTTAAAAAAGACTATACATCAAAAGAAGATGGACAAAAGAGAAGCTTTCTGTCATAAACTATAGTAAAACAGCTCAAAAGCTGCAAACAGATTACATACAGGAATAGAGGAAAGAGCACTCTTTAATTATCAGCTGTTAGTCAGCGGCCGCTCTTTTTCCTGGTCATCTCGCCTGTGCTGTGTGCAGTGTAAATGCAGACGATCGGATAGCAGTCACTTTTATAAGATAATGTGAGCAGCTCATCCAAAAAATCAGATTCAGTCGCAGTTTGGAATTGACCATGAAGATCTGCAGTGTACATGCAGCCTAATGCAGCGTCTGTGGTGCAGGACAGTAACCTTGACGTTATTCTCTCCTCTGGCTGCCGTCATCACTCTCACACTATTTTTTCCCTTTTGGGAACATCTTTATAACATAACCGTGGAGATTTTCTTTAATGTTTGAGCAAATAAGATTGTAAAAAAACATTAGTTTTCCCAACTATGACGACTTCTGCTACTGAGAAACCCGGAAGTGTGAAAAGGGTCCATTTAAAGTGGGATTTAAAGAAGACCTACAATATTGCATTTATATTGTGTTTAACAATTGTGCACTTGATAATATTAATTCAGATAAGCAAGAACAGTTTACACATACATTGATAAGTGTTTAAATGAACACATAATGCTGGAATATTCTTGCATTTGGTTTATTAAAGTTCTTTGTAGACTTAAATAAATTCTGTACTTTACATTGACTAAAGTAACTACAGTTAGGAACATTTGCCTAAATTAATATTGCATGGTGCTCCGGTTTCCCCCACAGTCCAAACACATGCGGTACAGGTCAATTGGGTTGGCTAAATTGTCTGTAGTGTGTGTGTGTGTGGATGTTTCCCAGTGATGTGTTGCGGCTGGAAGGGCATCCGCAGCGTAAAAACTTGCTGGATAAGTTGGCGGTTCATTCCGCTGTGGCGACCCCGGATTAATAAAGGGACTAAGCCGACAAGAAAATGAATGAATGAATGAATGATATTACATGGCATATAATTAAAAAAGTAAATTGCGTAGAATTGCACACAACAACACGACTTCGAGAGCAAACTAATCAAACTATAAAACAATATTGAAGGAAAATGTTCTTTCAACACCTTATATCCCATATATAAGGCATATCAATGACATGTTCAGAATGTATTGTCCCATGTTTATCCCCCAAACATCCAATTAAGCTCTTTTCCACCCCCAAAAGAGACACAGTGCATGTAAATGAAATTAATGTTAATTTAATAATTTACACATTTAATTTCTCCATCGTTCTCCTCAGACTCGACTGATCCTGCATCAGCTTCAACACACGAGCATGTAAACTCTCTCTGAGCCACTCACAGCCCTGCTGACAAAACATAATAAAGTCTTTTTTGCTTTCTTTACCGCTGGCTCAAGCAGAGAAACGTTTCTAGATTTTGTTTTTTAACAATCAAGTTTTACAGTCAAGTGCATAGAAACACTGCCCAACCTGCCCAACAGCACCCAGAACACCTTAGCAACAACTCTACACATCAACCAGAAGACCTTAGCAACATGGAAGTGAGTTTGAAGAACAAATCAAAAGTCTAATCAACATTTCCTACTGATGAATGGAGGGTTTTGTACAGTTATGTGAGCATTAGCCTCCAAAACACAACAAACAATGAGTGTCTCTTCTGCAAGCTCATTGGCTGTTCGATGAGTGTCTTCTGCAAGCTCATTGGCTATTTGGCGAGTATCTTCTGTGAGCTCATTGGTTGTTTAATGAGGGTCTTCTGTGAGCTCTGCTCCTCGGTCTTAACTCGCTGTTAAAAAAAGAAACTCTCAGGACCTCAAATGTATGTTAAAAGAGGGACAGAATGGCTCAACATAAATAAGGACGACACAACAGCAATAGTAGATGAATAGATAACTCTCAGTCCTAAACGCAGGGTTCATACACATTTTTACTACTCAAATTTTTGAATAACACTTACAGGTAAATAATGAAGACCTAATGTATCATGCAATGTCTGTGTGTCTGTACAGTAAATAATAAGAAAATTAAAAATACATTCATATTTATTATTAATATTATTGTAAAATGCATTCACTGCAAAAAATGCTTTTCTTACTTAGATTCTTCCTCTTGTTTCTAGTCCAAATATCTACAAATTCTTAGATCAAGAAGCATTTTCTAGACAAGCAAAACATATTGTCTTGTTTTAAGAAATAATAAGCCAAAATTAAGTGAGTTTTTCCTTAAATCAAGCAAAATAATCTTGTTTTTCGATTTGTGACAATATTATTTTGCTTACCCCATTGGCAGATTATTTAGCTTGTTTTAAGGAAAAACTCACTTCATTTTGGCATTTTATTTTTTTAAACAAGACAATATGTTTTGCTTGTCTAGAAAATGCTTCTTGATTTAAGAATTTGTGGATATTTGGACTAGAAACAAGACAAAAATCTGAATAAGAAAAGCATTTTTGCTGAGTAATTGTATCTCTAGAATGCCTCATCAAATTGGCATCTAACACTGGATAAACTAAAATGTCAAAATTACACTTGAAAGAATGCTTATGTCTGTTAAATGGACTGTATTTTGATTAAATTACATTATTGATGCTGTAAAAGAAACCTTATGAAATTTAAAATAGCCGCTTTAACTTTTCTCAGAGGCTGAAAAACACTTGCCATGCATATATACAGTACAGTTGCCCATTAAAGTTAAAGATGCTAACATTGCCTTAGTTGAAGTTTATTTTATGATCTTTAAACCTACCAGTAAACCTAAACCTAAACCTTATCCAACCCAGAAAAATAATAAGTAAAATGCACATTAAATTTATTACTTCATATTGTAAAATACATTGTAAAAGACGCTAGCATTGAGCTAATTAAAGTTCAATACACATTAATCTGTTAATTTATTTGCTGTACATTAATTTCATGACCTTTAAACCTCCTCAAACCTAATGCTGCCTTTAACTTCAACCAACCCAGAAGAAAACACTATTAAACAAATGCATATTCATTGCTCATCGTTAAAATACATTGAATCCCCACAATACATGTCAATTACTGTGATGTATAAATGCCATCAAATTAACATCTAATGTTGACAGTAAAAAACGTTAATAACTGATTACAGGACAGTGCTGTAATTCACTTTTGATGCTTTTTGGCACTGATGTTAGATGCTAATTTGATTTTCATATCAAGCTGCCCGATATTTTGCTTGTTTTCAGTAAAATCTCACGAAATTTTGCCTTATTATTGGTGAAAACAATTTGTTGCTAGTCTTGAAAATGCTTCAATTTTTAAAAGAAATTTAAGGATTTCTAAATATTTGGACTAGAAACAAGACAAAAACTCCTAGTATGCAGTTTTTGAATTGTTGTGAAACTGGTCGGTGCGTTTTCTTGTCTAAAATGTGCACTGACAGGTGGAGCTTTGAGAACAATTGAAAATATCTGGAGAAGTTTAGGTGCAATATTCTCATATGTCTGTTTCTCAGGCCTGCTGTTGATGTTTTGTGGCTTGTATTTTTTATATTTTGCACACTCTTTTATATTCTGTACACAGAAAAATCTCAGAGAGGCGAAAGGAAGCATCGCAATAGAGTCCAGGAACGAGTAAAGGAAAGGAGGAAGAATAGTCCAGAAAAGAAAGACAAGTGGAGATCAGATGACAACTCTCTTTTCTCACAGCTGGGTAAGTGTGTAACCCTGTTGCAAAATCATTCAGTCGTAAATCTCAAAAGAGCTGCACTGTGCTTTCTGTTTGCATGCAATAAATCTAAAGGAGACCTGTTCTGCCTCTTTTTGCAAGATTTAAAATAAATCTCTGAAGAGTGTGTAGTGAAGATTCAGCTGAGAACAGCACACAGATAATGTTCTCCAGCTCTCTGAAACTGACCCTCTTAGGCTTTTGAGGTGTTTTAGTGACTGTTGCTTTAAATGCAAATGAGATTGCGCTCTTTTCAGAAGAGGGCGGAGCTACAGATGCATGTGCATCAGCATAGTGGCAGATTCAAAAACAAGACTAATGTCCTATGCTAATGAGGGTGAGATGGGCACTAGTGGGCGGGGCTTTCCCCCTCTGATGACACGTACAGCAGGAGAATGTCAATCACAGTGTTTCTGCATCAAGTCTGATTAGAACAAACACGATTCACTCATGTTGAGCATTAGAGGCTGCTGGAGATACTCACACACTGCTCACACACACACTACTGGGTTTAAACCCCACAGAAAAGCGATTTGTGCATGATAGCTCCCTTCAAAGTAAGTTCTTTATGTGGCAGGTGAAAAAATGATGCATTTAAATGATGTGCAGACTTTGTAATTGGGCTTATGTAAATTATTGTTTTTTTATTTCTTGTTTGTGTCGATGTTTTTATTAGGCAAGGCAAGATTATTTATATAGCACATTTCATGCACAATGAAAATTTAAAGTGTCTATATCACCAACCCGTGAGCAACCCTGTTCCTGGAGATCGACCTTCCTGCAGATTTCAGCAGCAACCCATATCAAACACACCGGCCTGTAATTATCAAGTGCTGTTCAGGTCCTGATTAATTAGTTCAGGTGTGTTTAATCAGGGTTGGAGCTGAACTTTGCAGGAAGGTGGATCTCCAGGAACAGGGTTGAGCACCACTGGTCTATATAAACAAGATAATTATAAGAATTATTAAAAAAATCACACAGTAAGTGTGAGGAATAAAAACATCAAACTATTTAAATGATCAGAAACAGATTTAAAATGTTTTAAAGCAGGTTTACACTGCAAACAATAATTTTCAGAGTTTTGTTGTCTTGTTTCTTGTCCAAATATCAAAAAATTAATGAATCAAGAAGCATTCATTCATTCATTCATTCATTTTCTTTTTGGCTTAGTCCCTTTATTAATCAGGGGTCGCCACAGCGGAATGAACCGCCAACTTATCCAGAATATTTTTTACGCAGCGGATGCCCTTCCAGCTGCAACCCATCACTGGGAAACACCCATACACTATGCATAATTTAGCTTACCCAATTCCCCTATAGCGCATGTGTTTGGACTGTGGGGGAAACCGGAGCACCCGGAGGAAACCCACGCCAACACGAGGAGAACATGCAAACTCCACACAGAAACACCAACTGACTAAGCCGAGGCTCAAACCAGAGACCTTCTTGCTGTGAGGCGATAGCACTACCTACTGTGCCACCATATCGCCTGCATCACAAAGCATTTTATAAGAAATTATATTTTCAGAAATAATGAGTTTTTCCTTAAAGCAAGCAAAATAATCTGACATTAGGAAAAAAAATTATCTGACGTCAAAATGAAAACCAACATTATTCTGCTTCCCCCATGGGCCCATTATTTATTAAGGAAAACCTGCTATTTTGACTGATTATTATTTAAAACAAGACACTATATCTGTTGCTCTACCAGAAAATGCTTCTTGGTTTAAGAATGTTTAGATGTTTGGAGTAAAAAAAAACATTTGTCGCAGGGTTGAAGTAGTAAAACGAAAGATGGACACAGTGCAACCTTTTAGGAGCTTTTGATTAAAAGTGGCTCTGTTATCAAACTCTGTTGCATTTCACCCTTCACAGAACGTCTTAGATGAGTGTGTGGCAGTTTCATCTGTTTTGTTTTCTGTGTGTGATTTGTCGTGTGCACATTCCTCACCTGTCAGTGTTAAACTGTGCATGCACGCTCAAGACCATAAATACAGTCAAGCAATAAAAAGCCTGGTATTTCCACTTGAAGAATATTTGTATTCTGCAGTTGACTCGCAGCACAGAAATCTAAAGCATGTGTCCTTTTCCCCATTTATACGGGACTTCATGATAAACTGCTCAGGCGTGGACCGATGTTTACTAAATCATTCAGATCAGATCAGCACCATGCTTCAACTTTTCTGTTTGTTGTCATAGCGATGATTGCTGGATGGGCGTGGTTAAGTATGCTAGACCCGCCCAATACCTCAAATGCATATGCAGATTTTAAAGGTTCGACACCTTCAAGTACTTTTTCTGAGATTGTAACAGATGTGTGTGTGTTGAGCATCAGTCAGACACTGTTTACACCTGACAGCTTTAATTGTGGGGAAAACTGGATCATTTCAGCTTTTCGGTATTAACATTATTATTGGGACGGATCAAAATCGGTGACGTAGCGTGAATCTGCTAATGGAGTGATGACGCGTCGGTTTCTCATAATTATTCACAGCAGAGTTTTCTTATCCTATGAGAAGAGCCGGCTTCCTAATTATTCATGTGAGCATGTGCTCTGACAGACCCATATGGACAGATCTGCCAAGCTGTGAGACCCCGGCTCGGCCTGGCATGGCACACAGTATTTAGGTGGTTGTGAAGGGTCGGATGTGTTTATTTTCATGATCTATGAGGTTTGTTACATCGATTTCCCTGCGATGCTGTCAGGGCCGATACAGCCAACCTGTTGATTTGTAGCAAGTGTTATTGTCCAGAGCTGCACAAGAATTGGAGAATGGCGGACTTTGTCTTTTATCAGTTGAGTTTGTTAGCATGCAGACACATCGCCTATATCCATACTGCTGTGTTCGCCTAAGATTACAATCCTCCAGATTACCGGCAGGACTAATGGTTGGAATAGAAAGGGAAAAAGACTTGCTCTTCTCCACTGTGTCTGCATTCAGACTTGGAATTCAGGAGAAGAAAAGTCCTCATTCAGTGTTAATGTCATTCACATTGTGGTTATTCATAGAGGCAGCCTAGGCAGCTGCCTAGGGTGACAGAATAGAGAGGGCAGCGTCCGTGACACCCCCTTACCACCTGTGTCTTCAGTTATATCCGCGCCTAGTGTGGCAGAATAGAGAGGGCGGCGTCCCCGACACTACCCTCACCACCCGCTCCCTCAGTTTTATCTGCGCCTAGGGCGGCAGAATCTAGAGGGCGGCGTCAGCTCCCTTGCCAACGCCCCACTTTCACTTCTGGGTTGAGGGCGGCGTGACTGTTGTTTGCCTAGAGTGGCAGTTCAGCTTGCTCCGGCCCTGTGGTTATGTCTATATATTATATGAAATTACGAATAACCTTTCGTACATGTAGCAGGGCATTCAATTACTTATTAAATACTCATTATTGTTTTATTTCTTTGCATGTTAACTTTGCAAACTATAAAGTCATGGGTCTCCTCACGGTTTGGGTCAGATTTGTTTTAGTTTGAGTAGTTCTCCCCTCTCTTTTCCCCCTGCTCTGCTCATCATGGAGCATTTGTGAATAAATTCTGGGGTAGGCTTGAACTGAAAGAGGGGGTTTCATGACCCTTTAATCAAAGACTACAAGGGCAAACTATTGTTTTTGTCTTAATGACATGTACAGATGAATTGTTCTGCACTAAACTAGCAATGTAAGCTAACACAAATCAATATGGTCAGTTTTAATTTCCTGTGTACTTTAAAATAAAGTGTGACCGAACCTTTTTTTTTTTTTTTGCATGGTGACCTGAAAGCACACTTCTGAATCTTCTCCACAGGTTTCTCCAGATCGTTCCCCATAGACGGCTCGCTGTTCGACAGCTGGCAGGCTCAGTCCATCCACATCTCAGCGGAGAGCATGCTGAGCCGCTGGTCTCTGTCTGCCGGGACGCCCGAAACCTCGGCCAGCCTGCTGTCAGACCAGCTGCTCCGAGGCGAGGAGAGCCTGCTTAGCCTCATGATGGACTCCTCCATGCAGAACACCTGGAAGACACCCCGACTAGGACGTAAACACCCCAAAAGTGCACCCCGCAGCCGCCGGAAGACCCTCTGCTCTCCACCTGCTAAAGGTAAAGTGTGTGTGACAGAGCGGCGGTGTAGACGCGGAGAAAAAACGGAGGATTTCCAGCGCAGCAGCGACGGCAGGTCAGACCCTTTACAGCCCGCCATCGCCAAAATGGACTCGTGCCACATTTCAGAAGAGCGAGATTCAGTGCTGGAGAAACGCTCGCAGAAGAGCGTACGCATGCATCTGCCCAGACAGAGCAAGACCCGCTGTAAAAGCCAGACTGTGGAGTCGTCTGTGCAGAGCAACACACCCGACACTGAAACAGACGGCTATTTCTCTGATGAAGAGCAGAGCGACGGCGAATTGCGATTGTTTAGCCGGAAGTCGCGAATGCCTCAAATGCATGCTGGGAAGGAGGAGGTGGTGCGGCGAAGTTTGCTCGCCTCCTAGATGTGTTCCTGTGCCGTGAGCACGCTGCAAAACATGCGGTCTGGATTCTAGTCCAAATATGGTAAATTCCTAAATCAAGAAGCGTTTTCTAGACTAGCGGATAATATAGTCTTGTTTTCAGAAATAACGAGGCAAATTTAGCTGAGTTTCTCTTAAAACAAGCTAAATAATCTGCTGATGGGGTAAGGGAAATAAGCTTATGTCAAAGAGGAAAACAAGATTATTTAGCTTGTTTTCAGGAGAAACTCTCTTCATTTTGACTCATTATTTCTGAAAACAAGACAGTATTTAGTGCTTGTCTAGAAAATGCGGTAACACTTTAGAATAACTATCCATTACACTGCATAAAATGCTTTTCTTGCTTAGATATTTTGTCTTGTTTCTAGTCCAAATATCTAAAAATTCCTAAATCAAGAAGAATTTTCTGGACAAGAAAAACATATTGTCCTATTTTGAGAAATAATATGCCAATATTAAGTGAGTTTTTCCTTAAAACAAGCAAAATAATCTGCCAATGGGGTCAGCAAAATAATCTTACGACAAAAGAAAAAACAAGATTAATTTGCTGACCCCACTGGCAGATTATTTAGCTTGTTTAAAGAAAAAAACTCACTTAATATTGGCATATTATTTCTCAAAATAGGACAATATGTTTTGCTTGTCTAGAAAATTCTTCTTGATATAAAAAAAAATTAGATTTTTAGACTAGAAACAAGAGAAAAAATCTAAGCAAGAAAAGCATTTTTTGCAGTGTAACTAGTTTGTAGATCATTAATAAACTGTTAGTTAATGAATTATAAATCACTTGTTTAGTAATAGGTAATAGTTTGTTAATTATTTATAACTGTTCCTTATAATTAGATAAATTACAAACTGTTAGTTAACAAGTTATTTATAAGGTATTTATAACTTGTTAACTAACAGCTTGTAAGTTATCTAATTATAAGGCACAGTTATAAATAATTAACAAACTATTATTAAACAAGTGATTTATAATTCATTAACTAACAGTTTATTAATGATCTACAAACTAGTTATAATGGATAGTTATTCTAAAGTGTTACCGAAAATGCTTCTTAAATTTGGAGTGTTTAGATTTTTTACTAGAAACAAGACAAGAAGCATTTTTTGCAGTGCAGCTTTTCCACCTTTGGGCCAACGAGAGCGCCAGACAGGCCTGAGTTAAACTGCGCTTCCACTGTCAGATCAAAAAGAGCCACACATGCCTGTGTTTCTCTGACCGATATTTAGACATCAGGGCGGCCGATGACCGATGTTTGATGCTGTTTTTGGTTTTGTTTTCATGGCCAGCATGGACTGACAGTGGAAATGTGACTGGCTGTTGAAACACACTGACACCCTCACTAGCTGTGTTTCCATCCACCTATTTTAAACGCATTTTAGATTCTTGCATTAAAAATGCTTGATGGAAATTAAGAATACACCATTGAAGCTGCACGTAAACTATGATGTAAACAAATGTACTGTATAAATTCCAGCATGTGCTTCATCACAGTGCTTCAGTAGTATTCTTCTTCTTCTATTGTTATTCCCTCCAGACCTGTCTTGAGCATCTGTCTGCGCTCCCGTCTCATGCCTCCAGAAGCCACCACATTCACCGTGTTCGTTGCGTTTAGTCTTGGTCTTCTGAGGCGGAGCTCATTTATTAGAGGAGAACACACAGTGGAGAATCCCACCAGTGCAGCAGACTCCACTTCTCTCTGTGCATGCTTAGCAGGAAGGGAGCATTTTGTTCTCCTTCACTCATCAGACGGAAACTCTGCAGCATTTGCAAATCTTTAATGCCGTATTCCAGTTTTGTGCAAAGATTTAACTTTTTTCTTTGGGTGGAAACACTGCTAGCATTGGCCTGATGGTGGAAACATGGCTTCAGCGTTTGCTTCATCAGTAGGACGCACAGTCTCTCAGACCACATGCGTTCCCAGAGCTTCAGCTGTAATGGCTTGTTTTCTGTGTCACAGTTTAGTAGTCATTTATGCAACCATAACCATTTGTGCTCGACAAGCAGCAAGAAACAAGAAGAAGTCTAGATGAACACTGTCCTCCTGGGAGCCAGCAGGTTGTGTCCTGACGCAGGACAGTGACGTGGGCATTATGACGTCTGTGTAGGTCGTGTTCCCAGAGTATGTGACTGCATGTACAGATGTAGTGATGTACTGAGGAAATCTGACGCAAATAAGCACAATTATCCATCGGGGAATGTAGCACACATGTACACGCGGTGTCCTCCGCCTCATTTGCTCCGACATAGGCTAGATGTGAGAGCGTCACGCATACGACAGCTTCCATCATGGCCGAATCTTCCCAAGCTTGTGTGAAAATGAAGTCTGCGTTAGTTATTACAACTCAGCACTTCTTCAAGTGGTCCACAGTTGCTGGTTGCTTGACCACTTCGTTTTTATCCTCATTTTTTGAGTGATCACCTCTATTGGTACTTCTGGTTTCCTTCTTCTTCTTCCCTTCCCTTTATGAACGGGCCGCAAAATGTAACATTCATTTATTTCAATCATTATATTTAGACCTAAACTTTAAGTAAAATGAATGTACAGGCAGGTGTTTGTGTACCTGGAAGGGTGCATCAGAGATTAGTTTCTGATTCAGGGAGCTTTAGGACCTTTCAGAGCAGAGATGCTAAGGTTTTCATTGACATCTGTAAGAGGTAAAGAGGTAATCACTCAAAAACAGACGGACTCAAAGCCTTCACAGGTGTCTGGTTGTTTCTCTTCCACGTTTTGGTGCATTTAGTCAAAAAGACTCTTGTTGTTTTCCATTAAATTGTGCCTTCCGAAGCCCCCAAAACAAAGGAATAATCAGCATGTTCAGCAATTTTATCACAAAGATGGCAATCAGAACTGAGCACCTGTGCAAAAGAGTCCCAGAAACTGCTGAAATCTTCAGTCCTGCTTTAGCCAAACACTCTGTAAACCATCGTCATCAGTCAGTCAGTCAGCTCCTCAATGCTCTATTGGCATTTCAAATTGGATTCACACTTATAAAGTGCCGTCAGGCTTTGCTGGCATTTCCCCTCTGATTGTGACCCAATCAACCCATAGTGTGTATCTCAGGGTTCAAGAAAAGAAGTGATCACAGTCATCAGAACAGCTTAAACCTGTATGTGCACACCAGCTAGGTTTCTTTGGCAAAGAGAGGCTCTCCAGAGAATCAACAGAAAGAGATGAAGCACTGATTTTATTTCCTTCTTCTTTTAGTATGATGACGCCAAAGAAAAGCGAGTCTGCAAATGCTCTGAAGTGGATGTAATCACGTTGTCTTCTGAACAGAGCTTGCCCTGATATCCACCCGTACACTCCTTCATAACGCTGAGGAAGCGTTCTTCCTCATAATAATTCTTTATTTACCGAAAACCTTCCTTTACAGTGAGTCTGTGAGCATACTGCATCCTAACAAAAGGTCTGTTCAGCAGAAGACTAGAGTAAAGCACACGTCCCAGTGATTTAGTCTTCTGCAGAAGAGTCTGAAGCCGGGCATACACTGTGCAAATCTGCTTTAATTCAGCTGTGAATTCTGATGGAGAGATGATTCAACCCTTCCAATCGGTGGTCGGATGGTCAGATGATTTTCAGGCATGTCAGAAGTTTCTCTCGGCCCTCATCAGGGAATCACACAGAACCCAATACACTTTTACTGAGTGTGTGTGGCCTTTATTGCACCTGCGCAAAACACACACACACACACACTTGCAGGTTCACTCAGGCGCACAGGTGCAATATTAGCGAACATATTCTAGAATGCACAGACACAATTACAAGTGTATGACACACTGCTCATATATTTGCGAGCTCTACATCTGATAAGGAACTGAATTTGTTGTTGTCGATTTCGTTCTTTCAACACTCCTTCCCATTGGGTGGTGTAAACGCACCATACACTGGTTTGCCAGCCACCATTAAAGAAAACCTATTTTGCTTATTTTTACAAGCTGTAAATGCTCTCTGCTGTGTCTCTCATGTGTGTGTTTGAGTTTGAGCTGAGATTAGCACACAGATAATGTTCTCCAGCTCTCTGAAACTGACCCTTTCAGGCTTTCTTCTTAATTGTGGTGTTTTGGTGACTGTCGCTTTAAATGCAAATGAGATTGTGCTCTTTTCAGAAGAGGGCGGAGCTACAGATGGCTGTGCGTCAGCATAGTGACAGATGTAAAACAGCAGTGTGTGTGTTGTCACACTCTAATAATGTGTTCACACCAGACACGGCACGCGCAGATAAATAGTGCTATTCACCCGTAAATACACATGTGGACATTTGGAGTTTACTCACTTCATTCACTCTTCAAAATAGACACGGATTCAAGGCAAGGGCAGGGCTTTTGTCTGCCCGGTGACTGTAGCTTCCTTGCTAAATGGCTAACATGGATTTTATTGAGAGAATAGCTGTGTTTATGTGCTTTAGGAAGGCTGAAAAAAAGCGTTGATTCGCTTGGAGCTGTGTCTGAGTCCACTAGATCCTTTCAGAGGTGCACCAGCTCTGTAAGCTCATCAACTCCTCCAGAAACTGAACCTGGATGATGGAGGCTTTCAGCAGTGCTTCCAACTGAGCCGAGGCCAATTTGATGAGCTGTTGTCTGGTGTCAGAAGGTGGATTTCCCCCGGGACACCAACATTAGGGCGCTACGTCATAATCATGCCCCTATAAGACGAAGCTCCTGATTGATTAACGCGGCGCGAATCTACACTGAAGCTTTTCAAACTTTAGCCATTTGTACGAGCGTTAAGTGTGTCAATCGCTGTGCTGATTCCCCTTTATTTAATCACCTCAATTAAACAAAGATAAAATCAGGATCCTCCCTTCTCTATATTTCTTAGCTAGAGTTTAGTTAAAGGATCGTCTTTAGAATGTATTTTGCAAAAGAACAAATTAGATTCATACTTTACCACACAGGGTCACTTTGATGGGTTCTGGAAAATGAAGTCAATGTCCACTCCAGTGAAGAAAAGTCATAAAATACACTTTTATTAATAATCCACTGAAAAGGTAGAATAAACAAAAGACTAATAACAGAAACAAAAATCCTTACTTTATCCTCGGTTGAGAATAAAAAGCCTACGACTCTCAGTATACAGAAGTCAGAAAGCGCAAAGCTGAAGAGTACATGTCAGCTTTAATACCCAGTGTCTCAGTGACAGTGTTCATAAATCAACCCTAAACACAGGTGCACAAACTACTTAAATCATACATTCAAGGAGCATGCTAAATCACTTGAGCAGTAAAAAGACAGATATATAGTCATCATTATATCATATAAATCAACATTTAGGCATTTTTAATGTCAGCCTTAATTTATA